AAATAAAACAGACCATTATCATAAGAAATATCTTTGATATTTAGCTTTCACATAAAAAATTTCTATTTTACAAAATGAATTTCAAGTATAGAAGCAATAATGAATCGGTAAACAAATCTCGATTGTATTTTTTTTTTCGAAAAGTTCAGACGATATCCTGCTGAATTTTTAATGAGGTCTCTAATGCTTTTTATAATGACGTATCAAAAAATAACGTTTATTCAAATTGAAAGAATTTTTAGGATCTTCTATGGAAATATCACAGTCAAAGAATCAAAGTATATTTTGCATGTGCATGAATATTCTTATTCTTTTTTTTGTCTCTAGAAATGTTCACATATGATAATAATAATTTATTATTGCATGTTGACTTTTTTTTTTTCTAACATCTCATTTTATTAAATGTTAACATTATCTTCATAGGATGAATATGTTGAAACAGCATATACATATGAAAGATCTCGTTGGTTACATCTATTTCAAGTAAATAAATCTTTAAAATTATTACGTGAAATGCAACAACGTGTAGAAGATACAAAAGGTATTGTTTTATCATCATTATCAAAAGAATGTCAGGAATTAGCTGTTCGTTGTGATTGTACATCACTTTCATATATATTTGCATTACCTGAATGTTATATTGAAGCTCGTCGAGCTGTAATTGCTCTTCAAAGTTGGTTAATTGAAGATACAAAATATACATCATTTATTCAAACGTAAACATTTAATAATTAAACAAAACTAAATATTGCTTTGTTCTTTTTTAGATCTTTGAAAGTACTTGATGAAAAATATATTGAAGTAAAAAAAATCTATGAACTTGGTAAAGCACATCTTAGTCAAGCTGAACATCGAGTATTTCAACAGAAACTAATAAATATTAAAAAGAAATTCTTGTTTTTTTTTTATTTACTAGGCTGATTCATTTCGAATACAATTAAGTAAAACTGAACAAGAAAATGAAATAAATGAAAAAAAACTTGACGAACTTGAAGAACGTCTAAATACAAAAGAACGTGATTATTTATCTAAACGTTTAACTTTTGAAGTATATGAAGATCAACTTAAAAAGATGCTTAAAGCAATTGACGATAATAATGATAGTGTTGATAATCATTTATCAATTGAAAGATTTCAACAAGAAGTAAAACAATTTTCGAAAGAATTACCAAAATTAAAATCACAAATGGATGCTCTACAAGGACGTATTGAATTTTTGAAACAACGTAAACGAGAATTATTAGCAATGCGTACTGAATATAGAAAACTTAGTCATGAAGCACAATTAGCATTAGAAGATAAAATTCTCAAAGAAAATGAATTTAATCGTGTGATAAGTTGTCGTCAAGTTATACGAAATATATATAGATGCCGTTCAACTGATGATTTACCACAAAAAATTTTTTATGCTTTACCTGTCAAATCAAAATTGTCAGGTGAAGATAGTAATGGTAAGTGCAAGTTGTTGTATAATTAGTTTATCAATATTTAAAACTAAAAAGCTAAACAGAAGTAAACTCTTCCAATGTTAACAATAGATCGTTCGAATCGTATGAGGTGAATAAGGGAACTTTTCAAATACTGATAAATATGGCTTTGATACATGTTCTAAATAATGACATTAAAATTTTTGTTACAAATTTCAAGTAGAGTGGAATAACTGGAATTTAAAACTAGATTGAAAATACTGATACCGATAAAAAAAAATCAATTTTCGATAAATTTAAACCATCTAGTAGACACGCCCAGTAGATATTATGAATCAACTTATCCTTTCGTATCAATTATCGGAGAAGTGTTTTAATTTGAATATGTGACTTTTGAGAAAAAATAAAATAGAAGTTTGTTCTAAGTTGATTTTTGGAACGGCTAAGCTCAGTAAAACGAACACGCGCCAGTTCAAATCCACTTAAACTGTGTCAGAATGTTCTATTTTGTGTCGTTTATCACCACAGTTAGCACAAGCGCTCCAGAAATATACAACAAGTTTTTCAAAAAGCCTTAAAATTTTTCTGATAAACTTCGTTTTTTTGTCTTATGGGTCCAAAATTATGTCTATTGAAAACCAATGATGTATTTAGAATGATCGCGCGAAACTACATCAGACGATATATAATACAAGATATTTTCTAATCAAAATTTTTTCTCGAAATAATGTGATTACGATGTTTTCTTTAGGTATTTTTCATCGAAAAACTTCTTTATTTTCTTAAAAATGATTTTCTGAGTGATATGCAATTATTGCTAAACCAAAGAAATTCTTTTTCGAGAACGCAAATTACATGTCGATCTGTCGTGCCAAAAAAAAAACACACAGTATACGTCCCTGACTCACCTAATAGATTACATCCAATAGTTTTTGTTCTCATTATTAACGAAACCAAAGATAATTTACATTCACTTATTCTTATCTATAATATGATTTAATTAGGAATAAAAATAATTTCTTTTTTGCCAGATGATCTTTCCAAAGCAATACGTCTTACATCAAAATATATAGGACGTGATTGGAGTCGACTTTATTGGCAATTACCATTTTATCCATTACGTGGTAAAGAAGAAGTGTCAAAAGATATTAATTATATTGATGATAAATATCATCGTGGTGATGTGTTTCGTGTTAATATCAATTTCAATTCATTTATTTTCTATGTATCTATTGTTAATTTATTTATTTTCTATTCAGGATCAAGCAACAGATACATTAAATAAATGGCGACGTTATCATACACGTGCAAAACTCGATGATTTAATTCAAGCACTCCGACATATAAATCGTTTTGATATCATACAAATAATTGATCGACGTATACTTAAACCAAAACGTTTATTAAATGAAGAACATGAAGAAATTGATCCACGAAAACAAGAAATTGAAGATTTAAATCGAAAACTAAATCGTTTATTCGAGAAAATTCATACAGGAGTTATAACAACACACAACACGTATGTTTATTCGAGCATCGGTCTTGATCCGTTACAACCAGTGAGAAAACACCGACCATTGGTCATGCACTGAACACTGCACTGACATAAGTCACTAACTATTTTTGTTATAAACGTATAACACATAATTGCACCTTATGAACAAACTATTTACTCTTTCTTTGTATACACACATTTGTATACAAACAAAAGTTAATATTTATCACTGACACACACAAACAAGACCGAACTTGATATTTGCTTTTCAATTCACGCTAAATAATTATCAACCTCTATTTGCTTATTTTTTTAATTTTTTTCTAGTTAACGAAAGTATTTAATACGAGCAGAACATGGTATGCTAGTTCTGCTCGTGAAAAATCGGCTGATTCTAGAAAGACTCCAAATAGTCGAAGAAAAATACCGTAATTGAATCGTTACTTGACGAGGCGGCGTGAGAAATATGCATGATTTTCTTTTATTTTTGTTTTTCTTTTTTTTTGCCTTGAATCAAGTGCTTATTATTATTAAAGCTTGTTCAAATAATTTCCGTAGAAATAAATATTTTTCATTTCGTAAAATGATTTTTAATAAAAAGATATAAACAAAATGAAAACTATAGCCTCCGGATAAGTTACCGTATTCGATAAAGACTTGATTTATTCAATATAAAACCAACCATCATTGATAATTAATTGATTTGTTATTGCCATTTTTGATGAACTATTTAAACATATAATGTCCGTGTATTGCGGCTATCTATGACACAAATAAATGAATTTGATACGAGACTTATTTTTCTAATCAAAGATAATGCTGATACTAATACCAGTAAAATTAAATCTGTGTTAATAAAGCCACTTTAAAATATCAGTATTATGCGTAGTAACATACCACAAAGAAAAAATGAGTTGGAAAAAAGAAGAATTCAATTTTTTGAAATGAATTTATACTTTTTAATCTTTATATCTCAATAGTTGAGTCTTTAGCATCGTTTTATTATTATAAACGACTCATTATTATCAATGACATGAAAGAAACTCCAAAAAATATCGTTAGAAGATAATTTGTACTCATGAATGATTTGTATTACTATTTAAATAATTAGGAAACTTTTACTTCCTTATTGAAGAAAAATATTTGTTTCGAGTTTTCGACCAAATTTTTGACTCTATTTCTCAATCATAATAAAACACACTTAATATAAGTAGAATAATCCGAAATAAAACGAGCATATAACTAATACAAATAGTCATGTAAGCATTTTTTTAATTGCAAATGTTTTTATGAATTAAGATGTTTAGTTAATAAAATTCTTCGAGCAATAAAAAAATGATTCAATTGTACAAACAAAAATAGAAAATTTTATCCATTGAGATTGATGCGAATGCATATATATATGACCATACAATAAAAAGGTATTTAATATTTCGATAATACAACGGGCATTTCCTATTCATTATCAGCATGTTACTGCCAGGTCAAAGAAAAAATAGGTAATTTGAAAAATATTGCTATAAAAATAGTGATTAATAAAACCGTGAAAAGCGTATTTAATGGTAATCAACGCAATTTTAATTTTGTATAAATACCAAAATAGTATTTCCATAAAAAAAGAATTGTCAAGCAACTATACGGATACATGATGACCATGAAGCAGTCATGGTGGAGCCATTAAGCTTGGGGAGGCTTAGGGAGACTCATATTTTGAAAAAAAATCACAGATCTTAGCATGGATTTATATTTAGTATGCGAAAATTCTTTGAATAATAGTATGTTCAACCTCATATTAGATAGCACGATAAGCGGCACACCAATTGCGTTTAAGAAAGCTCAAGTCTTAGTGAAAAACCAAGAAGAACATCTGAGAGAGACTCGATATTTAAGAAAACTTTAGGAACGTCATTCCGAATTTGAGGGTGTATGTAACAAAATGTTACCAACATAGCTTATATTGCATGTATCTTCGCATGAACAAATGCTAAAATCTTGACTTTTTTCAAAGGATACGTTGTCGACAGTGTCTAAAATAACTATTAAAAAGTCTCGTTAGCTTAATNAGTAACACCTGCAAATTAATGATTTTCGACTAGAAAAAAAAAGAGAAACAATTTTTAAAATATAAATCAATAAAAAAGAATATTTACTATATGTGTCTGCATTGATTTCATCGGGCATTTCAGTAATTTGTACCTCAAAACGACTTTGAATTTCATTAAGAATTGCTGCATCACTTTCATTAACGACAAATATTGTTGCTAAACCTTTTGTACCAAATCGACCAGCACGAGCAATCTAAAATTAAATATTGTTTTAATAAATAAAAAACAAATTTTCTTTCGAACATACTCGATGAAGATAAGTATCTGTATCTTCTGGCATATCATGATTAAATACAATATTAACACATTCAATATCTATATCACGTTCAAATAAATTTGTCGCAACAAGAATACGTGTTTGAAATTCTTTAAATTCTTTATAACGTGCCAGACGAGAATAATAGTATTATTCACTTACGTAATAGAACGAACAAATTCAATGGAATCATTCTAGTACTATGTAAACACCTTTAAGGAAATGGAGAGAATCAACTAAAGGTACACTTGTTCATGATATGAAGGAGCACAGGGGTTCTCCAAAGATAATGTAGCTATTTCGTAATGGTAAGCTCATTGTAGAGAGTATTAAAAAGCTTCTGCTATTGAATTGAATGATCATACCAATCATTTCTTTGTGAAATGTCAAATATTGCAGTTGAATACTCGTCTTTCAATATACAATTTATCATATGATTGCAATTATGAATGAATTCGAGACTATCTTTTTCGACAGACACATCTAGTTTGTTGTTTATAACATTCTTTATCAATGGATATGAAACAACATATTGAAATAATCAAAATCTAACAATTATGTCAGAAAAGAGCAAACAATAATTCACGACTCCAATAAACAGTTAAGAACAATCTGTGCTTATGAGAATGAGAAAGAAGAAAATGACCAAGAGAAAAGTATTTTTGAAATATGCCAAACTTGGCAACTCATGCGTTTCCTAATGCAAATATTTTTACTTACGAGGAAGCCCTCCGGAGTTACACCTTGTGTTTGAAATGAGTCGCCCCTCATTAGGTAGAACCTGTTGAGATTAGAAAAACCTAGAGGATTTTCTACCCATGCGCTTTTCTTCTGAACTTATGGCTGTTGCACTGAAGTTTTTACTATTAGCACGGTATTTATGAAAAACCGAACAAACGAATTTTGATCTGAAACTTTGTCCATAAGTAACTCTTGATATCACTAGGATATCCTAAGAGTTTCAGCAAATGAGTGTGGTTCCTTCTTGAGATATCAAATCTCCAAAAGCGTCCTTTTTTTATGGAATATTATGGTTGATTGATAAATACCGCACTAATAGTAAAAAGTCTCGTGTAACGGCCGTAACTTCAGAAGGAAAGGATATGGGCAGTAGAGTTTTGCAACGGTTCCAAAAATATTTCCTAAACTCACTTGAAGAAATATGAAGCGTTCCATCATTTCTAATACTACTACATTTTTCGATAATGCATCTTGAAGAGAAATGTTTTCTCTTTCAGTCTATGTATTCAAAGATACATTACAATCTTTCATAACTAAATTATATTAATGGAAAAGATGCGGTTCTACATTGTACGGTTCCGAACGAGTCTGACCGGTTCCAAATCTGGACCTGCTCTTTTTTATGGCTATGAATGACTGTAATGTACCTTTGATTATAAGGGCAGAAAGAGTAAACATTTCTCTTCAAGATGCATGATCGAAAAATGTATTAGCATCAAAGATGAGGGAACGGTGCATATTTCGTTAATCGAATTTAGACGGTTCTTTTGGAACCGTTGCAGAACTCTAATGGACAGAAACCCTTCTAGGTATCTTATAGTCTCAGTAGATCCTACCTAATGAGGGACGATTCATCTCAAACTCGAGGTGTTACCTCGGGTATAGTTTCCTCAGTAGCTTAAAGTTTCGTTGAGGCATTCGATAAGACCTAGTAATTCAGCATATTATTAACATTTGCCACTATTATTGTGCTCCGACGACTTCGCTATAAAATAGCTTTCAGCGCAATCTCTGCGGAATTAAAAATGTGAAACACGATAGTGCTGCTAACACTGTCAACAGGGAAATTCAGCAACATATGTCTCCTGTCTGAATTGCTACCTATTGTTAATTCATGTTAATAATGAAATATCTTAATCGTAGTATGTTACAGCGAGGCCAGGAGCGAAGGCATCGCCAAGAGTATTTTTACGGCCTATGGTGGATGGCAGCGTTGGGAATGTTGTGTGTCGCTGGCTGTGATGGGTCATCGCTAGGATATCGATCACGGTCTGGGACATTTCCATAGTATTGTCGATCACGATCTGTGGGGAGGTGGAGGGGGGATGCAAATTTCTATCCGTATACACTTCAAGACTCCTTTTAGATAGTGTTTCACAAAAATATTATAAAGACTGTTATTTATCCATACTCATGTGTGATATACATGAAGGGAACAATGACTTCTCCCAAAGGCTTGAAAAGTGAAAACAATTTTGTGACTTTCATGGCTTTAATTTAACTTCAAAACCACAAAAAAATCATTTTCGGATGACGAAACGGACATTGTAATCAAGCAAATACAATAATTTTTGATTCTTAATCAAAGTACTACATAAGATTGCTTTGATGAAAATGGCCGTTTTAACCAATGAAATTGAAATGCATTAAATTTAACGTTTGTTTTATCATCCAAAGGATCACGCTTTTGATTTTTTAAGTTCCCACGTTTAGCTATGGTTTCAAAGTTTTCGAATCAGAAACAGTTATCCAGACGGCTACATAATCGAAAAACGAGAGATTCACGAATAGCTATGGTATTTATCTTGCGGATAAAGAGTAGATGAGTCTAAATATCCAAATAATTACATAGTAATATTTAAATCATTCTCTCGTCGTCTAGTGAAATGACACACTTATGATATAGATATAAACTATCATCGTCTGATTTGACGAAAATAAGATCTAGAAGAATGATAGCAAGAAAACAGTAAATAATAGTCGAAAGTGATCACTTATCTAATGTATCTATAGATGTTGTAATCGTCAGAAAAACGTTATTTTTCATATATTTTGATCAAAATAACTTTATTTAAATTTATTGATTTTGTTCATATATGGATACTAATAATACTTCCTCGTCACTATACTTCACATATCAAGTGTGTTTGAAATAGATGATATATTAGAGTAATGACACTATTTTTTTATTTCTTTTATAGACAAGACGTGGTCAGTCCTCGACCACATCAAGATGTAAGTTTGTTTTCATCTTATTTATTTTTATTTTCGTATATCATTTAGATCTTCCTCATCCACCTCCACCCACCTATTCCACCGTAAGTGTAGTTTTTTAATCAAAATATCGATTAGTGTTTGGCGTTCTTCTTTGTTCTCTCGTATTTGTTTAATCAAGTTGTTTTTATCCTTTAACCCATTCAATCCCGACGTTTTCTTGCGTTTTTCACGAAGATGAAGAAAAATAATTGAATATCTCTCTTTCATTATGTCGTCACAATCAGCTGAAATATAGACGAGCGAAATTACGACATCATTTAGGTCTCCTTCTTTTTCTTGAAATATATGATATGATATTCGTTGTCTATGAAGACGACAGAACGCAAAATATTTCTTTTGCATTCTGTATCATATCTACGAGATGTGATTGGGATTGAAAGAGTTATATGGTTATTTATGATAAAGACGAGGCTAGCTAATCACACTAGCAAAAATAGAATAAATAAAAATGGTCGCGACGAAAGTATCATATAACAATGTTTCCAGATGTGCCTAGTTTTTCTATGCAATTATCTTTTTAATTGACCCAGTTACAGAATGACTGGAACAAGTGCATCGATGGATTCGCTCTAGAAATGATGATATGAGTCATCCACATAAGCTAGTACGCTATCAGTTTCAAAACATGTCGATAGCACACATAAATATTTTTCATTAATTAATCTTTATCATTGAATAAATAAGAATAAACGTGGTTGCAAAATTTTCTATAGTTTAATTATAAAATAGTTATCTATGAATAAGATTATTTACCTTTCTTTACTAGATGCTGTGCTTTTCCTTTTCTTTTTTTCTCTTTGGTCTCACACATACTGAAAAAAAGAAAACGAATTAAGCAACATGATTGGGCTATACCGACTTAAATCGTCTCTTTTAGACGATTTATTTGTTAATTCAGTTTTAATTGGTTTTATTCTTTTCAGTCTATTTGGGCCATTCTCTTTCTTTCTCTCCTTCTGACACTTTTTGTTGAAAGTGCTTTTTATTTTTTACCAACAGCTATATTGTATCGACATAAGAAACAAACACATGTGAACATAGTCATATTAATACTCTTTGACTGTCTCGATCCAGAGAAAAACAATCAGTTATGTGTAAAGGTCATCAAATCTCAAGCATTCAATCGACTTATGTGAGTACTGTAAAATATAAAACTCTCATACATTCTGAAATATCTTATTTAATAGTAGGTGTAATAATTATATCTGAGAATACTGTGTTCGTGTAAAAGTATATTCGCTGGTAAACAATGTATCTAAAAGACTAAAAAGTATGTACTTAACAGATTTATAATCCTCTCTATTTCTTGAAGATCTATTTTTCTGGAGTAAGTATCAAAAGAGAGACAGAGATGGAGTGGTTATTATTTTTCGTTAAAGAGAGTGAAAAGAGTAAAAGCAAATCACTGCTCGCTCCTTTTAAAATGGTGTGAATTTGTGTCAGACCATAGATGGAACCGGTCTACAGGTAAAAGACCGGTTTACCGGTAAGATACCGGTCTACCGGTAAGATACCGGTCTACCGGTAAGATACCGGTCTACCGGTAAGATACCGGTCTACCGGTAAGATACTGGTCAACCGGTAAAAGACCGGTTTACCGGTAAGATACCGGTCTACCGGTAAAAACAGGTTTACCGGTAAAAGCCGGCCTACCGGCAAGATACCGGTAGACCGGTAAAATACCGGTCTACTAGTAAAATATCGATCTACCGACAATGGATTAGTTGTCAAAATCAAATACTGCCTGAAAAGCAGTTTACTTTTCCATCAAAAACAGCTCTGCATTAGTGTTTATGATGAAAACGGGAAAATGGAAAAGTAAGACCGGTATCGTATCGGTAATAGACCGGTTTCAGACCGGTAATAGACCGGTAACAGACCGGTTTCAAACCGGTGTATCGGCCGGTCTAAAGTCTGGACCGGACCGGCCGATTCCCGGTACCGGTTTCATCTATATGTCAGACAACTAATAAATTCGATTAAGATAACCAGTAGATCATTCCAGCCGTTTTACATCTCTCCCCGCTCTATCAGAATTGTACTTCCTGTAGTAACTGTCCCTGTCTTTATGGATGTGTGTCCTTCCTTTCAGTTTTCTTTGTATGTTTATTGTTATGTTGTATCTTTTTTCTTTTCTTTTGACATTTTTCCTTGTATCGTTTCCGTTTGCATGTGTGTTCTCTTTTTTCGTCAGTCCTATTTGAACTGTCCTATTATATGTCCTTCCCCTTTTCCCTTTATGTTCTTCCTTTTTCATTATTATTCCTCTGTAAGTATTTACGACTCTTACAATAAAATAGCAAAACCAAAAAAAAAGGTTTTTAATGATCAAATAATTATTTTTAATGTATTCTTGGTAGAAAAACTATTTTATTTCTTTTAAAAAATCCTCAACTTCGAGATTTAAAAAAAACAATAAATGACACAATAAACAAGAAAAAACTGTTATATACAGAAAAATAAATTGAAGAATACAACAAAATATCATACAGTTGTTACAGAAGTCGTTGCACACAACACATGTAAAAATTAAACACAAATAAATGCGAAAACTTCGGATTTAAATCCGAGAGTTATGTGTACTTCAAAAAGTGAATGAGACAGATGAGTCATCCTAGAATGTGTGGACATCAAAATTATCCTGGCAAACCTTTTCTATAAAATACTTGATTTCTATTAGCTACTCTCAACCAATAGGATTTGGGGATGAATACAGCTCAGATTTGAACTCTTCGCCTTGATTTACCATAAGAAAGTCGTTTTTTCTATAACTTTATTTCTATTGACCCCTGCTCAACCAATGGTATTTCAAGGCGAATGGATGACAGATTCGAGTTCTCCGCCCCAAAAAACCTCGACATATCATGTCCGTGATCGGACGGTTGAGCTCCATTTTCGGATCCACTAGAGCGTGGACGAAAACGGAACCTATTTCCGTCTGATTATCTTGGCAATAGGTGAGTTAGCCTTCGTGTTTCTTTATGTTTTATATACCATTTTGGAGCTCGTAAAATTCTCTATCGAATGGTGTATAATAGTTGGGGTTTTGTTTGAGTATGATAGGAAAACTTTTTTTACGAAAGCGGCGATGGGTCGATTTTTGCATAGGAAGCCATAGGAAAAAATGAGTATTTTTACAATAACTCAGGAACGGCTCGGCCAATCATGCCCATCTTCGAACTCGACCGAGACATTGTTAAGACTGAACTGTGTAGAAAATTTCCTCGCGATTGAACTCTCCTTTCAAAAGTTATCGTGTAAACGGACGGACGGACATACTGACCGATTCTAGTGTACTCACTTTTGGAGTACACAAAAATCATAAAAAAATGCGAAAAAATCAAAGTTTTTTTTATTATCATCGAGAAAATGATAAAATTAACATCTAAAATATTTGTAAAGAACAATAAACTTAAGACAAAAAAAAATTTTTATACTCAAAATCACTTATTAAATACTTTTAAATTATCATTTAAAAAATCCATTGAACGTTATATATATATGCCTTTGTTCAGCCATTTTGATGATTCAAAGGACTATATTAAATATAATATTATCTAATGCAAACTTAAGTGTGACAATCAGTACATAACAACGTTATCTTTTCAGGCTAAACGACAAGCTGATGTTGGTCTGCGTCATGAGGCTGATCGTTTACGGAATTTAGCTCAATATGAATTGAAAAGATTCCAACAAAAATCAATTGGTCAGACAACTGAAAGGGCGTCGTATATCTGGTGAAAGCTCAACCTTTTGGAGCCACACAAAGCGGCATTTTAGAACATCATCTTCTTCTTTGAGAGCCCTACTACTGCCTGATGATGAATCGACCAAAGATTCCGTAGTAATGGCGAACATAGCTGCTGACCATTTTGAGCGACTGTTTGCGGCGCCTGAAGTTCTTAGACTGCATCCCTACGTGGATGCTCCTGATTTGCATTGGGATAACGCTAATGGTCAGATTTCGAAAGTAACTTATCGTGAAGTACTAAAAATGTTAGCAAGCAGAAAAAAATAAACGCTCATGCGACATACATGGACTTTCTCCATTTTTGCTGAAACCGATACCTCGACATTATTGGAACATACTGGTTCGTTTCTATAATTATTCATTTGACACCTGTTTTCTGGCAAAGAAGTATAAAGAAGTCCGTATGGTGTTACTAGCAAAGAATGATGCCATCTGCCCGCCTGATCAAACAAGACCGATTTTACTTCTCGATTCTTTTCTCAAAGTACAAGAGAGCCTTTTCCTGGATCATTGTCTTCAAGTTTTAAATGAGAGGGGTATTCTCCCGGAAAATCAGTCGAGCTTTCGTCCAGTTTATCGTCTGAAGACTCGCGTACTACTTTTGATAGAACAAATATCCTCATATATGTCGAATAGTTCTCCGGTTGCAACGGTTTTTGTTGATTTTAAATCCGCGTTTGATCAATTATGGTTTGAAGGCTGCTTGGGTAAGCTGATTCGACTGGGCATTCCGGTAGTGTACGTGAACTGGATTCAAGCGTGGTTAGAAGATCGTCATGATGTCATAGAAGTGCAAGATAAAAGATCAAGGTGGTTTCCTATAAAATGAGGTGATCCACAAGGCTCTTGTTTCACTCTAACTCTTTTTATTACTTATCATTGTGATATGTCAGACTTCTTTCCCAAGGCTATGTCATTTTTCTTTGCTGACGATTTAGCTCCCGTAGTCGCTGGGCAAATAGGTATTAAATTTACGAATCAGTGCATAGACTTAGAACGTCGGTTAAAGACTTTGCTGGATCACCTGGAATTTTATTCGATTTTGTCAGTACAACCGATTAACTACGCGAAAACAAAGGCTATGTCTTCTGCTCGTACCATCAACTACCCGAATCCAATGCCAACGCTTCAGTGTGGAAACTCAAATATAGAATGGGTTTCATCATTTAAATATCTGGGATACTGGCTCACTACTAAACTAGGATAGGGAGACATGATTGAGCGTACTCGTCTTCGAATTCGTCAACAAATCGGTTTAGTCAACTCCATACGGTACAGTGGTATTACCTCAACAGCATTAAGACATACGTTATTCTCTACGCTTGTTTTACCAGTTTTTACGTGGTTATTTGCTCAGTATCCGTTGTTCACCAGTTGCCAACAATCTGGACTTAGTCACTTTTATTATACGTGCCTTAAACGAATAATGCATTGTAATTACTGAGATGATCTCTTTTTTGCATCTCTCTATGATGAACAGTTGCTAGATGACAAATGTTATTCCTATTGGGAGAAGTATCTTACAACTTTATCCAAACCGTTGGATGGGCGTCTGTTATTGGGACAGTCATTTTTAAACACGCATAGAGTGGTATGGCATGAAGGCGATTCAAGCAGTCGTTGTTTACGAAGGTCAAAACGTTTTGTACATCATATGAATGTGTTTGCAGTGGCCACAAAATGGATGACATGGTATGGCACGGAGAACTCAGTGGTACTGCTAGATTCACAAGAATATCTGTCTTTTGTAGAGTGTCCGGAAAGCTTTTAATACCTCTTTCTTTGAATCTTTTATATTTAGCTGTTGTCTGTGTTTAATTTTTTATAACATGGTCGCTTCATATGCTAGCTACATGGCCCTTTAGGACAGCAGGGTCAGAGGGTCACATTCGCTAATAATAATAAAAAGGTCAGTACATACCAGTATGCGTACGTCACTTATCGCATCACGTGTGCCAGTGCGTACAAACTGACTTGAAATAATCTTTTTTTTTCTAGGTAGTTTCTGAAGGTAATCACCACCAACAACAACAGGTCATAACACCAACTACACAAAATCCAAATGCACCCATTGAACAACAACAAACAATTGATATTTTTATTCAATGCATGCAAAAACAAACCGATATTAACATCCAATTAACCAATTTGATGGAAAAACTTGATATACATATGCAACAACAAAATTTATTAATGAAACAATTAAACCAACTATTAAAAAGTGGTCCAAATCAATACAGTACAACATTAAGTAAGGAAATTCCACCAGTGTGTGAAAAATTTGTGCAACATGCAGGTTTTATGCATTATCATATTTATGATAAAATATTTGATTTTTTTTTTCTAGCAGATGGAAATTCATATTGATAATGAAACAAAATTAAAACTTCATGTAAGTTTGAGAAATAAATATAATAATAATATGATTATTTTAAACAAAGGGTCTTCATCAGCATTATGTTAAATTACGTAAAAATGACAAAAGTCGAAAATTAATTGATTTACTTGGTAAATTAGAATTTAATCAAGTAGCTATTTTTGTTAAATCAGTATCACGTTGTACAACTTTATGCAAATTATTAACTGAACAAGGTTCTCCTGCAATTGAAATTCATCGTGAAATACTACAAGAAAAACAGTTTTTTATTTTTAATTGAAATAATAATAAAAAATGAAATAATTTTATTTGCTTAGTTTGACACGTTATAAAGAATTTAAAGAGTTTCAAACACGTATTCTTGTTGCGACAAATTTATTTGAACGTGATATAGATATTGAATGTGTTAATATTGTATTTAATTATGATATGCCAGAAGATTCAGATACTAATATTCATCGAATATGTTCGAAAGAAAATTTGTTTCTTATTTATTAAAAAAAATATTTAATTTTAGGTTGCTCTTACTGATCGATTTGGTACAAAAGGTTTAGCAACAATATTTGTCGTTAATGAAAGTGATGCAGCAATTCTTAATGAAATTCAAAGTCGTTTTGAGGTACAAATTACTGAAATGCCCGATGAAATCAATGCAGACACATATAGTAAATATTCTTTTTTATTGATTTATATTTTAAAAATTGTTTCTCTTTTTTTTTCTAGTCGAAAATCATTAATTTGCAGGTGTTACTGGTTCAAATGAAATATATAAACTTTTTTTTATCTCATCTCGGTTATTCTCATTATTACTGTTCGTTCCTTGTCTTTATTTTGGTAACAAACTTGTGTATAGATGTATTGGAAAATATGAATGTATTACTCATATCGTTCAAACACTATCTTCTTTTTTCTCGTGCTTTTTCTTTGATGGTAACAACCAAGAACAATAATAAAAGATTCTTAGAAACATACGCATGTATTAGAGCACTAGTCGACGATCTTGCCTCTCATCTTTCCGGAGTCTTGATCTTTTTGGTTATCAGACAAGATTCTTTTGCTATTCCTTCTATACAAGATTCTTGCCTAAAAAAAAGATCTGGACCTTCTGTTGATATTCTTGCAGACAGAATTTTGTCTGATAAGACAAGAAATGCCTCACCAGACAAGATTCTTGTGTTCTTGTATTCTTGACTGATTCTTTATTTTCTTGACTTCTTGTCTGATTCTATTTTTCCTATAGTTCTTTCCTGAATCTTTTTCTTGAAGTTCCTGGTTGATTCTTGTGATGCCAATGAGCCCTTTCTTTATATCAATATAATTTTCTTCTTTCATTACTATTGTATGTATTATGATAGGTTTCAAATAAAATACCAAAAGTACGAGTAGATGCCTAATTCGAGCTCAAATATAAATGGAAAATTCAAAAAAAAAATCGCACTCATGCTAAAATAGCAAAAACGCAAAAGAAATGAATTTATATAAATTGTAATTTATAAATTCGAAGGCACCGATGTTGAAATAGCAAAAAAGCAAAAGAAATAAATTTACATAAATTATAATTTATAAATTCGAAGGCACTCATGTTAAAATAGTAAAAAAGATTTGAAGCGTTCTATTAATTTCCAGGAAACTCCTTTTTTTAACTTGACTGGAAGCCGGTGATAATGGGCATAATGGCTGTACTGCGCCTGACGTACCTATTATGCAAAAGGTGAACCAAGAGCGATGAAATGTGACTCCCTCCACGGCACCCACATCGAGAGAGATGTGACGTGACTCCCTCCGCGGAACCCAATGTCCATGATGCTGATTATGCCCATTATGCCTAGTATGTACACTAGGGAAACGGAACGCAGTTTTCGGACACTGATTTGGCGTCCGGAAACCTATTGAGTTTCTTGACAAGTAATATAATACATCATATGAATGCAATTGCCCCGTAGAAAATCGTTTTCGATTTTCGGAAAAAAATTGGATTTCGGGAAAGCCAATTTGCGTTTCCGGAAATTCGAAGACACCGCCATGAGATGCTACAGCTTGCCATCAGATACTATAGCATCCCATGAGATGCTACAGCTTGCCTTCAGATGCTACAGCTTGCCATGAGATTCTACAGCGTGCCATGGAATGCTACAGCATACTGTGGAATGCTGCAGCATGGTCTGAAATGCTACAAGAAGTATATGAGAAGCTTGAGCTGCCGTGCAGCATTGAGTAGCAATGATGGTGTACACAAAGGCGTGCATGGGTCACGGCTCTTCGGGGGCGCTGCGCGCCCTCACCCCGCGACGCTGATATAAAAGGTTAGTTATGCGGGCAAAGGGTTTTTCCTTCAGTGGATTCTTGCTTCAGTGGGATTTGGCTTTTCTTATCCCCCCAGATTCTCTCCTAGCCCACCTCCATGTTTCTCTCGAATAGTTGAACACTTGAAGTGAACTTTGATGTTTGAGATGCATGCGAATTTATAAATTATAATTTATATAAAATTTATTTCTTTAGCTTTTTTGCTATTTTAACAGGAAAGTCGTTTTTTTTCATTTATTTTCGAAGTTATGGTAAGCACTTAGCTCTCTATTGATATTCGAACTCGAATTAGGCAATTCATGAAAAGTACGCAAGTAAAAGATTATACATGAATTTCATATAGAGGGAAGAAAGTCAAACAAAAGCAAATGAAAACTAGCAGCAAAAAGCCTCATTTTAAAGTTCGTCGTCGTCATCATCATCTAGATTTACATCAAGATTATAGTTATCATCATCAATTAAATTGTCTTCATAATTATCATCATCAGTAATTAAAGTATTTTCATAATTATTATTTTCAATAATTGAATTATCTTCAAAATTTTCATGACGAGATGATAAATACAAATCTTGTTCGATCTAAAAACAGATTGAAAAATATAAAGATTTTACCTTACAATAGTGCATTTAAAATAAATTATTTACAAAGTGTTCTACAGTTGGAAGAGGTAAACGTAATTGAGTGGAGTTGAGCTTGTGTTTTCGATGTTGCCTCCATCGCCTTTGCCTTACTGTATGCGGCGATGGCTCTAAAAAAATATGCGACTCAAAAACAAAGAATATTATGGATATCGATCAATACTACCTAAATCAGCAACAATATGACTGAAAAAATTACTTGGATCTTCTGAGTTGATTTCCGTCAGAACAAAATTTCTACAGACGAAAAATAAATGTTGGTGACAAGTAAAATTCTTTGAAAACAAATTATTGTTTCCCCGTTACGTCAATAGAAAAAGATAATCGATAGATGTTTTTTCAAAATGATCGACTATCTTGAAATATTACTGTAATTATAAATGAATAAGTAACGGTTATACGTCTATATTTATATATGTATTTGAACGAACAGATCACGTGCTATATTGATCTTAAAGGTCAGATACGAATCTTTTAAAAGAATAAAAAAGAAGCTTGTGTGAACTTCAAGAAATTTTAAATATCTTGTGGTTCTTTCCAGACTCTTGTTTTTCTGATCAATTAGACAACATTCTTGTCATCTTGAACTCCAGTCAAGATTATTTTTGAGAGGAAAGGAAAAAGATTCTTGTCTGATCAACTTTATAAAATCTTGAATATCTTATAATTCTTGTCTGGTTCTTTTACTTATGAGTAATCAGCCAAGATCCTTTTCAACAGAAACTTCTGGTAAGAATATTTTTTCTTTCCTCTCGAAAGGATTCTTGTCTGATAAACAAGAAAAACAAGAATCTGGAAAGAACGAAGTCAAGATCGTCAACTAGTGAGGTTAAAAACTTAAGTGAATTCATATTGAAATACAACATATATGAGAATCGCTTCAGTTCAGCTTTTTTTGTAACGATGTGATGCTCTATCTTTCTTTGTTTGTCTTGTTGTTTTCTTTGTTGAAACTAAATATCTATGATCGATAAAATCTACCTTGAACCAACAGAAAGTTGACATAAAAGACAAAATTTGTCGAAGGTATTTGTGTTATGTGATATGAGATTTGATATCCTTCGGAAAGAATTAATTCAAGAATATTGATGTATTTCTACTTGTCTAGTACATGGTTTCTTTTGTGCATAAATAAAATTCAATCATTCTTTGCTGTTTCATGTGAGAATTTGAATATTACTAATATTCTTGATGAGATAGATTAAAGAACAATTTCGTTCTTTCTATATGATTTCAGAAGAAATGAAATGAATGGATTCAAGTTATCATTTTTGTAGTTTTTACCTTTTTTATCTCTTTAAGTTATTTTGCAAGAATTAAAATAAGTGCTTAATTTCATGTTGCTATTGTCTTTTTATGCAGTGACTTTTTTACGCTTATTGATGTTTGATTTAAATAAATACACAATTGTAACGGACAAAGGGCAACAAAAGTCAGCTATTAGTAAAAAAAATCGATGAAATTAAACCATAATTTTTGAAAGAAATCGTTTAACATGAGACTGTATAGCACAATGACTAAGCAAATAGGTTTTTTCTTCTCAATTTGTGATGCTAAATTAAAATAAAACACTTTCACAGGGATTGCAGAAAATGGAAAAAAAGTTATTTTTGGTTCTATATATAATCTTATAGGTTTATTGGATCTTTTCATCGAAAGAGTAACTCAGTTAAAATGGAAAGTATATATTCGTGAGTAGCTCGTCAAGTTCCATCAAACTATATACATACAAGTTAATGAATTGTACCTTATGAAAGTACTTCAGTATGCAGCGAGCAATGTTCTTTTTTCGGCAATCGAAAGAGAAGATTTCGAAACGTCTTTTTATAGGATAATGTACAAAGCAAAAGTACCTATTATGAGATAACATAGAAAATATCCTTGATAGTCGTTTATCGTTTCGATGACCTTTTGATTTTGACATGTACGTCAGTTAAGAGGAGAAATCTCAGATTTACACTCCTAAATGCCACTTTACTCATTATTTCCGCCGATAAAACTAAAGTGAGTGACAACTCTACCTATATACAGACAATCTTATCAAAAGTTTATTGAAAGAACATGCGATAGTCATGCATTTTTTGCTCTGAAGTGCTCGTCGCTCGATTGCCAAAATCCTTAGATAGTTTTTACTCTATATATTCATTATACAGGACTTTTTTCTTTATTAGCAATCAGATTGAACTGAATATTAACAATGACTCCTAATCATCTAACAAGGGAAAAACAATATTTGATTTAAGTACATGATGCAACAGTTATTGTCGCTTTATATAAATATATACATTTAATCAATGTTAGTAATACAATTCAAATCGAATAAATAGAGATAGAATGAATTTATTGCATGAATCAAAATGATTTATCTTGAAAGATTACTTTGATATTTAACTCGCTAAATATCAATATATTTTCATTCTTTTTGATAAGCATTTATTTTCAAACTTATCCTCAATATAAAACTTGATATAAACTCTACTCTTGTTGATAGATATGTCATTGATCAACTAATCATCATTCAATTGCTATCCATGTACAATATAATGGATTATCAACACTTAATTATATTTCAGCATGTATTCAGCTGTTGTCGATTTATTTCTAGGCTTAAATATATTCAATATGATCGACAAAAAAAAGTCAAATATAATCCTTCTTCTTACTGCATCTATATATATGACCTTCAACGAGCGCCGGTTTTTTTTACGAAGATCTAGTGAATGCTGAACCACATATTAGTATTGATTATATTACTATGAACCATCTTAGACATAGTTATGACATAAACTATCGTGATGCATGCGAGAATACATTAGTGAAAAACTTTCTATAAGAAAAAAAAATCATCGACAACAAACGACATACATCTGCATTATCAATATGCACAATCACATATGCATAACATTGTCCTCAATCTTCTTAGCAATCTTCAAGAGGAAAAAATCTAAGATATGATTCGTCCACCATGCACGTTTGGCTTTATCCTTTTAGATCTTTGGTTGTTTGAAATATAGTCTTAATACATATACGCATACTACAAGTGTTGGCAAAGCAGAATTCAAGGAGCGCTATTCAATTCATATTCACGAATACTAAAAGACCTTTCAGAAAGGGATTGACACGACAAAATTTTGCATCGAATAGTTACTGCTTTTTTTTTATGCACGACGAACTTTTTTTATTTCTTTAACTAATTAGTCATATGGAAGACCATTGATCGATGGATGATTTAAGAACATTTGATATGTGTATTGGTTAAATTATTTTCACTCACTCTAATGTTATTTCTTAGAGGCACATAGAAACTTCATAATAACAAATCACACCTGTATATGTGTATTAGTCAATAAGAAGAAATGAAATCATAAACAATAACAAATGACCACCAAATAGTTCCAATCTCAATGTTCTGAATGATCATGTGCGAGACGCTATTGTCAATCATATGCAATGAAATGAAGTTAAAAACTATAATGCCATTAATTAAATAAGACAACAAACTCGTCTTATATCAATCAATGGTCTTATTCGCAGCATCAAACATCGATCACACAGAATTTCGTCCATTTCGAAAACAAAAGGCACATACGTAAAAATAAGTTGTACCTTGTAAACTGTAGGGCCTTCATGTTGCATCTTTTCAGTAAAGCATATTAGGTAATTGAAACAAATGAATTCGGAATGTATCAAAAATGATCTCTTTTGCAATATTGAAATTTAGTGGCACAGAAATTTATCCAGTTTGAAAACAGTGGATGCACATTTGAAATTAGGTTTTCAACGAATCTTGCAGAGCTTTTCACGTTGCATCCAGTGGTATGTTTTATTTTTAAAATAAACATACTAGATGATAACGAAAAGAAATATCAAAGCTGATCACTCATTATGATTCACACGATAGTTAGCCTTTTTTTTGTTTGAAAGGGCATGTCAAAATGCAGAACATGGGAGAATCCCTTTTTTGAGCTAAGCTTGGTTATTATGATATAAAAGAGTACCTTTATAATTAAAGCGTCATTATTTAGAGCTATTCGAAACAGTGAACATTTCTGTGTTTGAAAGTAAGAATTTGAAACAAGACTATTGCCATGCTCTGCATCCTGATATGCTCTTTATAAAAAAGATTAACTGCATAGAATGAAGGTTCAAAGAAAAATGTATGTTGTCAAATGAGCTATTTTCGGCCGTTATTGGTTGAATATCTTCTGAAAACGTCATGATGTAGGGCTGAAAAGTTTACTATAACCTTTCCACTATAGTCCCCAACATCTCCTGAAAATTTCATACGATTTCAATTTGACCAGCCCAATATTGACTATTACCAGGTAGGTTTAAAGATAAATTGCGCACTACCACATCATAATCATTCCTATCAGAAACATTATGGCACTGTTTATTAACGCCATCTATACACTATTACTTTTTATTAGTTATAATCAAAGTCCATATTAGAGTTATCATGCCTTTAACTAATGGATGAGACGGGAAAAAAAAAACAAATAGATCGAGCGGCTAGGCGAAATAAACAAGGTACGGCCACATGACAATAAGGAAATTTGATCTTAAAAGATCGTATCTCTAAGCATATGTCTAATTTGCTGTTTTTCATTAACAATGTTCTACTCAAAGAACATCTTCATTCTAATCATTTTATTACACAATTTTGTTCTTATCATTTGTTATTTTTATCCTTTGATTTTAATAGAATTTTTAAATGCCTTCAACATCAACAAGAAAACCGAATAGACCTGCAGTAAATAATCAAGGATTTTGTAGTGTATTTGGTATAAAAGCAGCTATTATTATTGTTGGTTTTACACTGTTGGTATCTGTTTTATCATTATTTTTTTTATCGACTTGGACAATAATAACAAAACATAAATACGCATTACTTGCTTCAGCATATCTTTATGCAATATCAACTTATTTATTATTAATATCTGCAGTAATTACATCTATAGCAATTATTGCTCTTTTCATAACTGCATGGATTGAACATGAAAAAGGATTAAAATTAGTAAGAAAAAATTTTTTTAAAATTTATACAAAAAATTTTTTTTTTTTTAAAATAATTATTGTTTAGACACTTTTAGTATTAATTTTAACATTTATTTTTGAAATAACTGCAGGTCTAATAGCTTTTGGTTACACTGCTAATGTTAGTTGAATTAAGTTAAAATTCAAAAAAAAAATTTCTTTTTTTTAGCTTGATGAAAGTTTATCAAAAAATTTACTTGAAACTATTCAACATAAATATCATTATGTTAAAGGAAAAACAAGAACCTTTGATCAAATGCAAAGGCGTGTATGTTAATTGATTTTGTTTTTTCCTTCATAATAAGTCATTTGATATTTGTTTTTCTCTTTTTTAGTTTCGATGTTGTGGTTCAAAATCATTTAAAGTAAATTGAATGAAATGTTTGTTTTTGTTGCAATATATATAATTTATTATTATTTAAATAAAAGGATTGGCAATTAAATTCAAATTTTAATCTGTCAATGGCTTCAGCTGTACCTGATAGTTGTTGTAAATCATATGAACCAAAATGTGCTCAAAAACCATATGGAAAACATCCATCAAATATATTTTATGAGGTATTCAAATGCTTTAATAAATGATATATATAGACGAATTTGAATCTATGGCCCTTTTGGGCTGACGAGTGGAGTTCCCCAGTTGAGTTATGTATATTCTAAAAAAAAAGAGTTCGATCTTTTAGCTTATTGCTGCCGACATACTGCACTTTACAATAATAGTTTTTGAATAATGTGGTCTCTCCTCAGAAAAACTGATTTTCGAATTTCGACTTGAAACTTTTTGTGGAGATAGGCCTTAACGAAAATAGTTTTTTGTAAATGTTTCAATTTTTGTCGTTGTTCCTATTCTAAGATAGGGCTGTCGTAAAAGCATATTTTTCACTTCGTTCGTATACACTGACGGATTCAATGTTCTTATTTTAGGATAGAAACAAATCTAAAGGTCTGACATTTTCACAAAAAAACTTCTCTTGTTGATATCTGTCTCTATAAAAATTTCAATTCGAAAATCAGTTTTCTTGGTACTCCTGTGTACTGTCCTTCATGGGTACAATTTTTTTTTGCACCCCGAACTGGGACCGAAACTAATTGATATCGGGCAGATACTTTCACCATGATAGTACAGTTTTCAAACTTTTACTTTATGTGAAAAAAATATTCTGTTTAGTTTATTCCATAAACAGCAATAAAACAAAGATGACATCTCAATTTTCGCAAAAAGAGAAGTGATTCAAGATTCACTTGATGTTTTTTTGCTGCTAATATCCGATTACTTTCAATAAATATACATTTGTTTGTGGATACATACATGAATGTTTTTTTTTTCATCACGGTGAAACATGTTCATCTTTTTGATAGTTCATTTTCTTCTTCATTTACTCAATTACTTCTTCCTATGGTTCACCATCATCTCTAGATGAGTTTTCATTAATAACGAATTTTCTTAGTAGAACAATATCACTTTTCACTTTTGTGGCTTGTTCTAAAGTACAATAAATCACCTAGGTTTTGACTCCTATACATAATATAACAGTCCCGATTCAAAAGCAATTTATCAGCTGGTTGACTTCCTTTATGATATCTAATTCTAAACAGTGACTATTTGAAGTTCTGAGTGACAAATATTTTTTTTCTTCCCTAATTTTGAGTTTACATGAACGATTTTAGAATTTTCATAACCACTGGAGCTTATTCAAAGTTGTAAGGATGGACGCAGTCGAATTACATTTGTTTAAAAAACTAGACTCGAAAGTTGGGTACCGTTTACTTGAGCCACTCATTGAACAAGGCAAAAGTTAAATGTCAGCAAATATTTACTTACTTCTAAATAATTTTAAGTTTAATCTTTTCTTTATACAAATTGATATTTTATTTTATCTGGAAAAGGAAATATTGAAATAAAAAAATATTTAGACAATAGATAAAAGATTAATATGAGGACCTTTATTAATGCTCAGAAAAAGTTATTGAATACGAAAATACGAATAGCATTATTTATAGTTTAACTAACATTATAAATTAATTGATGAAGTGTCTAATCCACAAATGAAAATAATCATTCATTTTTTGTTCGTGATTTTTCCTTTCTGGGCTTTTACATTCATTGTGTCATTTTATTTAACACAGAGTTATGCTTATTTTGTTTATGTGCATGAAAAATGGCGACAAGAAACCGTGTCATGAAAGACTTATTATTGATGTTTGTAATAAAAATAAATACAAAGTGAAAAAATAACTTGACTAGCTCAACCCTGGAAAACTGCTATACTAGGTCTGCTAGACAGAGGTATTCTTTGGTAGTTACTATTGATGTTCCGGTATAAATTAATTTGCATTAAGTTATTGCGACATATGTATGAAATATTAACATATTTTTAATCAATAATGAAATTTTTTTTCTTTGAAATAGGGTTGCTCATTGGCACTCTATCGTTTTTATCATCCGCATTTAATCACACTCGGCTGTGTGACAGTTGGCGTTGCTTTTCTACAGGTAAGATTACGTTTTCGAAAAAAAAAACGATTATGTATTCATTTGTTTTTTCTTTTTATTCGCCAAAAAGATATTCACAATTATTTTACTTTTTTGGTTAATAAAGCACATTGAAAAAATAACAGAATTTAATCATCCAATTATACCTCCGGCAAAAATTCGTCGTCTATCGAATGAAATCACTTATTATCCCATACAATCATCTCAATCTGTCAAATAGAATATTCATTTACAATAATCAATGCATGAAATCTCACGTCCATTTAGTTCAGATATATCACAGATCTTTCTTTTTTTTTCCTAATGTATTTATAAAACATAATAGTTTTAGTCAACTTTTTTATTTTGCATGAAATTATATTTACAAAAGAAAATTCTTTTTTTTTTAGATTTGTTGTAACGTAAAAAATAACTTTCTTTGTATATAAATTCAACGATCGTTGTTTTCATGTTTATCGACGACGAAGTAGCATTACGAGAATGGCTCGTTGCAACACTCGAACCATTGTATGTTTTATCTAGTATTATAGTTTTTCATTTGATGTCAATTTGTTTGTTTGTTTTGTTTTTAAGATGCGATGCTGAACCAATCGCTTTAGCTCGTTATGTTCTTGCTCTCGTTGCTAAAGATAAACCATTAGATAAATTACGTGAAAATTGTATTGATCGACTTGAAGTTTTTCTTGATCGAGGTTCGTAGTTTAAAAAAGCAATGAAATTTATTTTGAAATAAAACAAATTTTTTTCTTTTAGCAACGAAAGATTTTGTTGATCAATTATTTGATGTTATTCGGAATGGACGCTATATTCCTGAAGCAAAAAAAGTTGTTTGTTTAATAATTCTTCATATTATATGGATTAATATATTTAATTTTTTCTCAAATAGGAAAATGTTCAACCAAAAGCAAGTGAAGTAAATGAAGATAAATCAGGTGAATCATCTGAAATAGTTGAACAACAAATTTCAGCATCGCCAGCAAAACAGGAAAATGAACAACAACAAATTCCATCAACTTCTCAAACAACATCACCATCTGAACATTCAATAAGTACACAACAACAATCATCTGGAGCTATAATTCAACCTGTTAAAAGACGTTATTCATATCGTTCATCATCAAATCGTCATCATTCACCAAATCCACGTCGACATGTGAATACAAGTAGTGGTGGTGCTAATCGTCATCAAATAGCATCACATTATCGTCAAACAACAAATTCAAATAATCAACGTTCACATCGTTCATCATCACGCTCGCGTTCTATATCACCACCACCAGCTAAACGTACACAACGTTCATATTCACATTCATCAACCGGTTCATCATCACGTTCATCACCATCACGTCAAACAAATATAATTCATCCACCATTAACAACAAATACAAATTTTTTATACAAAAAAATTCCATGTAGTGACTTTTTTGAAAATAAAGGTTATTGTGCTCTTGGTGATTCATGTCCATATGATCATGGTACAAATGCTGTGGTTTTCGAACAACAACAACAACAACAACAACAACAACAACAACAACAACAACAACAACAACAACAGCAACAGCAACAGCAACAACAGCACCAGCAGCAACACCAACAAGCAGCTTATTATCCACCTTATCAACAATATGGAATGCCACCACCTCATCTTCATCCTCATTATCATGAATATAATCCTGAAGCACCTGATTTAAAACATGGACCACATCCAGCTCCACCAATATTTATGAGACACCCGATGCATCATCATCCACGTATGCAAGGACCACCATTACCACCGGGACAACCTCAACCATCTCAACAACAGCTAATGATCAATCCACAACGTACACTTGTTACTGTGGTTACGAATGCTGAACCATTACCACTTGAACAAAAAATGCGACAAAATGATATAAGTAAAGTTTTTTAATTCATCTTAAATAAGTCTTTACTATCCTTGTTTTTTTAAGTGGGTATGTCGTCCAGTGGCCCTATTCCTCCTGTGATTCACACGAAACGACATGTTACTACTGGACTTTATCCAAGTGATCGACGAATACAACAACATGAACATCCATCGAATAACGATTCAAATATTAATACTAATACTACTATTCCAACTAATAATAGTAATAGTAGTCATTCTAATACTAATAATGGATATACTAATCGAGGATGGAAACGTCCATGTATGTTTTCTTGTTTTTACTTTAATAAATATTCTATTTTCATTTTAAAAAATCCAGGGCAAAAACCTGATGGATCTGGATCAGCGCCAGCAACACTTGAAATACGTAAAATTCCCGTTGAATTTAATACTATTTCAAAATTAAATGAACATTTTAGTAAATTTGGTACTGTTACTAACGTTCAGGTATATTCAATATTTCTGTGTTGCTTTTATTTTCATATTAAAAAAAAAATTCTATTTTTTATTAGATTGCTTATGATGGATCACCTGATTCAGCTCTTGTCGCATATGCAACATTACATGAAGCTGAAACAGCATATAAAAATCCTCAACCATTGTTTAACAATCGTTTCATTAAAATATTTTGGCATAACAGTAATAAAGTAAGTTTTATTGTTAAAAAAACAAAACAAAAAAAATACACAAAAACTCAAGTTTTCAAATTGAGTGCAGAGAGTTGGACGAGTCGAGTCAAAATATTTTTGGCACTATTTTTTCATTTTCTCTTTATTTGAGAAAGAATGTTAACAACCAAACTTTTCATAACACGAGGATGAATCCATGGGTATCCAACTACTTTTTGGAAAATGATTTTTTTTTATCGAATTTTATGTACTGGTTCGATCGAAGGTGGATAGAAAATAACTTTAGTCGAAAACTAAATTTTCTCTTCTTTCTAAAATACTGGAGATTTCGATCGTTTTTTTGGAACATCTAAGAGGTGTCATATACGTTATTACAATATTTAAGGCTCATATTTTGTCCAAAGATGAAAGATTACTAGGCTAGTATAACCTCCCGAGGATTCTTTTTTTTCAATGTATTATGACTAAGATCCAGGACTGTTATAGAATACTACTACTACATATTTGCTGTAAAAAAAATGTTTTTGGTTAAAATGATGCAAAAGTCGTACTTCTTAAAAGTCTTGTGTCTTGGTCATAATATATTGAAAAAAAGAATCCTTTAGAGGTTGTGCTAGTGTAGCAACCTTCAATCTTTGGACAAAATATGAGTCGTAAATATTCTAATAATTTATATGACACATCTCTTAGATGTTACTAGAAAACAATCGAAATCTCCAGTACTTTAGATAGAAGTGACAATTGTTTTTTCGGCTAAAGTTATTTTCTATCCATCTTCCATTGAATCAGCACATAAAATTAGATAAAAAAAAATCCTTTTCCAAAAAGTGATTGGATACCCATGGATTCACCCGCGATATCTTGTTCTTAGTTTTTATGCACAAACACAAAATAAGAACAGTCCTACATTAGATAACATGACACAATTGCTATAGACTTGTTAAAAAAGGAAAGGGACAATAGAATCAACTCTTTTCTTTCATATAGTTCTACAAGTCAGTAACAACGAAGCATCAGTTTTTTTTATAAATAAAAACCTAAATTTAAACATTATGCATGTATATCAAGGGGAAATAAGCGAACTTTTGAATTAAAATCCCAAAGCTATTATTGTTCGACGGCGTTGTGGATTTAACTAAAGCCCTAATATTACAAATCACCAGGTGTTAGATTTTATGAGATTTCAGAATTCTTCTCGGAACCAGTCGCAATGTTCCATAAGATTCAGCGCCATTCTACTTGATTGCGTAGTCCAAGAGTCTTATGATGTCTGATGATTAATCACGAAATCTACTGTTGTTCTTGACATATATGATCCATTTCATTTCTTTTTTGAAAAACAAAAAAAAACAATTTTTTGCATCTTGCCCAAAAATCATCGGCAAAGGGTTAAATTAATGTCTTATTGCACTTCACAAACGTTAAAATATAAATAATAGCTCGTAAAAATGTTGAATGATGTGTTCTCATTGAAATACAGCTTTGATATAATAAACACGTAACTGATGTTGATGTAGTTAAGTGGAGCACACATGATTTTTCTAGCAAGTTTATTAAAAGATTCATATTAATTTCTTTTGAAATTGATTTTGATGTTGATTTATGAATTGTTATTGTTTTTGACACAATGACTCAGACTCGGTCAGTCCTACTCGAATGTATGATGGCAAAACTTCTTCTATATTATATTTTAACACTCATAAAAATATATTTCAATTCAGGGACAAGCTTCTGGTAACAATAACAATAATTCAAATCAATCAACACAACAACAACAACAGCAACAGAAACCATCATCAACTGATGTCACATCAACAACAAAGTCAACATCAAATGCCCCTAATCCAATGAAACGTCATTGGATGAAAATGCAACAATTATCAGGAAATAAATCTGAACAAAGTACAATACCAACAAATAAACCTGAAGAAACAAAAACTGTAAAATATTTATTTTATTATTTTTAATAATAATTTTTTTCGATATGATTTGTAGACTCCTCAACCAACTTCAACCCCAGCTACAGTACCAAATCCACCACCATCAAATAAACCAATCGTATTACCATCATCAAAAAAAACCAGTATACCATCATCAACAATAACAAAAAAGGATGCAGTAAAAAAAGCAGCTTTCGAAATTCACTGTAAAAAACAAGGTTTATTAGAAGAACAAATTCAACAACAAAAATTACTTTTAAAAAAACTTGAAACAGCTGAAACAAATGCTGAAAAAGAATCAATACGTGCTTTAATGAAACAAGTTGATACAACAGTTGTTACGCTTAAAGATTCACTTCGTTTAACATCATCAATTAAATCATCATCAACAACAGTACCCACAAAACCAACGATAACACCACCACCGCCAACAGCAGCAACGACTAAAATTAGTCAACAAGATGTTCTTAAACAACGTGAAAAAACATTACAAAAACAACTTGAAACTCTTAGAGCTAAAACATCAGCAGATATGGTAAACTGTTTTAATAAACCTTAACTATTATCAGAAGTCAATTGTTTTCTTTTAGCGTCGTGCCATGAGTAATACACTAGGTCAATCGTCATTAAATTTTACTAATGTTCTCAATGAAAGTGATCCTACAATAAAATCATCAGCAAATGATGCATTAAAATTTATCGAACAAAGGCAACAACAAATTCTAATTAAAAATATAAAGGATTTACCAAGAAATGAATTAGAAGAGTTTCTTAAGGTTTATATTGATAAATTATTTAGAGAAAAAGAAAATTTATTTTTTTCTATTTTGTATAGAAATCTGGAGCTATAAAAATTCAATCGAATGATGCGGATAATTCATTACTTGTTATATATTCTTCAACAGCTGATGTTGATAAAGTAGGAATATGAAATTTTGCGAAACACAATCTAAAAGTAGTGTTGAAGGATAGAAGTAGAAATTTGAACCCGATTCCGAAGGCATAGCCAACAGTTTTTGTTTATCCGTATCCCCTACAGATACTTGTGAGTCATACAGGATACATAGACACTCCTTGCACTTCACTAGTTAGGTTTCTGCCTGCGGCTCTCCAGATCTAACTGACAGGTTAGGAGTAGTTCATCATAGATCGTATATCAATAATGTTTCGTTTCAATATATTAACTACTTCCTGATTGTATTTCTCGAGAATGAAGGGTATCCACACTCCTTTTCAAAGTTTCTGGAGAACAGTTCATGAGAAAAATTTGGAATTCTGATTGCAGGTAGATTTTGACAAGTAAAGCAAACAGAACAATATTGTTTGAAACAAAAACAAAAACAAATGTCCATCCCAAACAGTATTTAATATAAGTGAAAAAAAGTTTCAGTTCGATCAGATGTACTAGAACCGGAAAAAAAGCGCATTTATGGGATTCTTGTCATGAAAAATTTGGTTAAAGAAAAGCACAAAACAATATACGGTTTTCGCTAATTTGATTTCTCCTCGAATTTTCTTTCTACGTTTCAAAGCAATTTTTGGATCCCAAAAGTTTACTCAGCAGATAAAAACTACCTCAGACTCTACAATGACTACAAAGAGACAAAAACTTCGAATCACGACTAGAGATGTGCGGAATCAATGCTGATTCCAACCACTGGAATCGCAACCAAAAAAAACTGGATCTCGCATATGTCTAATCACGATACGGGGCTACCCTTAAGCCAAAGGAGGGTGAAGCAATATGTTCCAAAATAGATAGAATAAAATAATCTCCCTGTGATTAGTAACAGCTGCTACATCATGTTTCACATTTTAACCCCGTACGAGTTGTGTTAAATACCTAATAATTTATAAATATTTTTTTTTTGTTTCTAGGTACGAAAAAATGGATTAACATTTAAAGATCGTAATCTTGATATAGATTTTAATGAAGATTCATCATTGAATATTAGTGGTAAAAAAAGAACATTATCTGAAACAATGGAAGATGAATTACTTGGAGCAACATCAAATGAAATAACTAATAATAATGACGATGATGATGAACCAGAAACAAAACGAAAAAATCAAAATCAAACAAGTGATGTTGAAGAAAATGAAGAAGTAAATTCAATTGATTTTCTAGGCTTTGTTTTTTTGTTAATTTTTCTATAATAAAATAGGTTGATGAATATGGTGATGAAGAAGAACGTTTATTAGCTGATTGTGAAAAGTCAACCGATGACAATGCAACAAAACGTACAAATCTTTCATTTGATAATAATGATGAATCAAATCAACAATATGAATTCGAACCTAATGATCTTGTTGATGAAATTCAATTACTCGATTCTTGACACAGTATTTGTTTTCGTTTTTTTTCTTCTTTTCAATAGAAATAAAAAGCTTTGGACATTTATTGAAAAATACAGTTGGTGTCATTTGTGTGTGTGTGTGTGTGACATTTTGTTTTGCTTTTTTTTTCGGCGTGTGCATGTTTCTCTTTCTCTTTACTTTTTTGTCTATTTCGCGCCTCTAGTTATTTGTTTCGTTTATTTGTTCCATTTGACTTTGTTATATGTCGTAAACATACATAAACACATACGTTGTATCGCATAGTTCCAACAAACTAACAAAAAAAAAACATATTATACAGAATAAAAAAATCTAGCTAAATATTTCATTTGAGCACCGAAATTTTAAGGTGTTCAGTTAACGATATAAATCTTGATCTTTTGAAATGGTATGCAAATGCACAAGAAATATGCACGAAAAAAATCGACTGAAACCCAGTATAAATATTTTAAGTATTTAAATAATGGGCTATTGAAAAGTAATTTGACAAAAGCCAATATGGGGATTCCCACACACGATCCGAAAAAGTTTTTTCGATTTAGAGGCTTTCATTTTTTTTAAATATATTGAAGTGTCCTCTATTGAGTGCCGAAAAATTGAGAACTGTGCCAAGTCATGTAAACACTGAAAAAACATCGTTTCGAGAACCTTTATCTTGAAAAAAAGCCTATGGGTTTTTAGGTGGCAATGTTGTGAGGTAATATTCTGGGGTCCGATTCATCCTATAAATCCTATAATTCCTATATTTCTGAAGAATTCTATATTTTGTCCTATATTTTAATGACTATTCCTATAATTCCTATATTTTATCAAAAATAGTAGAAAAACTTCAAAAAATTTGACTATGACCTGAGGGGGAGTACAAGAGTCTCCGTGGCGCTACCCCCCGCCCGGTCATCACTTTTTACGAAGAGCCCAGGGGATGAGAATTTTTTAGTGAAAATGATGGTAAAATTCAGAAATCAAAATCCTATATAGGAATTTCTGTATTTTCGAAAATTTGCAATCGAACCCCAGGTTTTATAATTAAACTTTATAATGATCCTTGAATTAGCGACTTATTTTGGTAGAAATAAATTACATAAGAATCTCGGTTATCGTTGAACTGTTTCCAAAAGCTTCATTAAAACGATTTTCGAGCAAATAACTTAAAAAAGACTAAAACAATTGAACAGAAATGGTCTATAAAAAATCCTATATTTTTGTCACTTTTTATCGAAAATCCTATATTTTAGACAAACTCGATCCTATAAGGATTCCTATATTTTTAAAAAATCGCAATCGGAGGCCAGGTAATATTCCTTATTCATTCTATGAATATCACTTAGAAACAGCTCTTTATTTTCATATTTGATGTCAAATCAATGATAATCTGTTATAAGTTAAGATGAGCAAAAGAGAAAGAAGATACGTGTAGCAAAAAAATATTTTGCTTTGTTTTGGAATTTTTCTCAGAATCAATTTTTGAACAAAAAATGAAGTTTTCACCTCTTATCTACTACAGTATATCTGATCGGACTCGAAATTTTTTTATAAGTACTTTGATCAATTTGGAGCACGTTTTTTTTCTATCTTCAAAATGTTGTTTCTACGAAATTCAGTAGTTTTTAAAAAATTAGTATCATTGAAAAAAAAACATGTTTTCTGATGGTCATTCCGTTATTATTGCTCCTCCTGAGCGCGAGAAATAATATTTTTGAAAGAGAAAACAAAAGCACGCCTCGATTTGATCGTAGCTGTCATAAAAAGAATTTCGTTTTGAAAGAAATGAGATATAATCTTGTTGGAGGGAAAACTTCCGACTATTTTTGGTCGTTGCCAACTCCGTATCTTTCTGAAGGAAGCATTTAGAAATTTTGAGTCCAGAATAACTTTTACTCGACTTATCGAGATCTATCTGCCATGAAAGTTTCGTAATTTTTCGTCGAGCCCTTCTCTAGAAATCTTGGAAAGGGAGAGCTTTGCAAGGAATCTGCAGGAATTTACAAATATTGAGTTTGAGAAGCACAAAAGTTAGGTTTCAACGGAAAAAATCGATGTCTTTCGCAGTAATACTGTCCTTTACTTCATACGTTCTATTATTAGTTTTTTTAGGAATGTTTCGAACTCACTTTGTGAGTTTGTTTTTCATAGAAATAGGAAAAACTGACACAGCATGCCGCCTTATCAAAATACTTATTGTTGACAACGAACTTGAAGCAAACTTATCATTAGTATATCACTTTATACAGAAAATTTTACTCTTTCAATCGCTGTATGTGAAACAATTTTGGCTTCTACTTCTGAGTAAGTTTTGACCAGTTGAAGCTCATCCAAATTCAATTTATGGGCGTCAAAAATGTCAGTTCATTGCTCTCAAAAAAGCTCTACGAATTTTTGAAGTCTTATTCAGAAAGAATATTAAATTCTGATATTAACTCAATGCTTTCAAATTTCTGTAGGCTTATTGAAGAGACTGCAAAATGAACGAACATTGTCAAATTACTTTTCGATAACCCGTTAGAAGAGAAAAAAATATGCTCAAACAAATGCATAAAAATTAGACAATGAATACAACGAATCTATGTGATTAACATAAAATAACTGTCAAGATTTTTAACTAATATTTAAAATAAAGGGAAAGATTAATAGGTCATTTATTTATTATTTGTTTTCATTTAGTAGAAAAATCTAGTCTCATTGGCAACTATTCTATGCCAAAGGTTAATTGAAGTATAGAAATTCCGAGAAAATATTTTAAGCATGGAGTCGACAGTTGTGTTTTATCATCAAAAGAAATAAAACCATTATTAACATAGTTTGTTCATGCTTAAGACCAGATATAGTCAGGTAAATTTTGTGTTTCCAAGCATCAACAAATGTTTGACTTAATAATAAATAATACATTGATCATATAAATCATCTGGTTATTTTCTATTGTTATCAGTAGCAAAGCAATTTTGATCGTGATATTAAATCACTCCATTATATATATTTGCGCTTACTTTTTGGTTTGATTTGACTTATATGTTCGAATTTCGAGATTAACTGATCAAATGAAACATATTTTTGAGGCATCCATACATATTGGCTGTATCAACATAACCAAAACTAAACGATATTAGTTTTGTTTTTCAATTAGCAACTATCAAACATGCATATTTTTGCATGAGTTTGTTAAACAATTATGTTATCATCAGACTAATTCCATTTTTACAATATTCCATACAAAAAACAAAAGAAAATAAAGCGTAACTATTCCATTTAACGAATACTAGTTCTATTTAAAATCTATCATAATTCCTTCTGATTTAGATTACTTTGCATTGGTAATATTTAAGTTTCATAGAAAATCTTTTCTAATAAGTATAATAATGTAATAGTCACTATATCTGATCGAATAGAAAAAGAATTTCATGTTTCCTATATGTTACACCTATGTTGATTTATTCTTATTACAAAGACACTACATATAAAAATATTTCTATTAGATTTATCATTCTTTTTTTTTTTTGTTACAAATAAGATTAAAATGTACTGTACTTTTATCGGAAGCCAGTATATAAACATGTTCGAATATTTGAGTTCATGTTTAATCGTTCTCCAATTTGTATGTATGATGTTGAAAAGTTATGAAATGACTTTTTCTGATCATTCAAGCGTTTATATATCTGTCTCTGATTGATTGAGATAGATCTGAAAATAATGACATACCTTCATATCTTCTAGTGACTCATGATATGACCCAGACGATAGCTTGAACTTAACAATAACTTATTTTAAATTTTAACATAACTTTATCTTATTATCTGAAAAAGAAACACATTGACCTTCGAATCATTTGAGATTTCGCTATTTATAAATCCACATTATTTATAGGCCCTTTATGTATTTTTGATTGTTTACAAGATTTACTGAATTATTTATAATGCTTAATCGAAAACAAAGCATTCATTTTAATAATAAAATAATCTTCGTTTTTTTTTATTAACCTGTTCGCCGACCAACGATGTCTATATGTCATAAATGTTATCACCTCGTAAAACTAATGTAATCGCCTATAATGCATACTTTTATGATGTATTTGCGTAAAAGCAAACGTCAAACAGCAGAAGCTTTCCATGTTATCAATGTATTATAGTCTATGTTGGATTTATGCGTTACGAAACGAAAATGTGCGTGATATACAGCCATTCTATTTTACGTATGTATATATTTTGCCAGTAACCGAAGGGTTCAACAAACAGTTCATTTAACAAAAAGTACTTTACATATCAATTTATCTATTATATATAAACTTCAACGACATAAATATGATCAACAATAAAATGTATCTATGTCCATTGTTTACGACATCAATAGAAATCGAAAAGATTTAATTTATTTCATTGATATCAATCAGTAATAAATTTGTAAAAATCATTCAAACTATCATATTTTTAAGACAGAATTCGTTTTGACATCATCATCATCATATTATATTTTATTAGCTTTGATAAGAACTTTTGACATTGAAATTGTTACATAATCAAACAAACTTTTCAAGTTAAAACTATTGAACATATTTGTTTATTCTCTTTTATAACAACTATCTGTTATGTTAACTAGTGACCTATGTGAATATTTGTGTATAATTTAAAAATACACGAAAGGTCAATAAGCAATCTGGCAATGAGCCATGATAAAAAAAAAATCGAGAGAATACGAAAAAGAAAAATTGATAGCAATCTTCGTCACCGCCTTACAATAACACATTCACCACTCTTGATTCATTCGTTTGGTACACACGGCTTTTTTTCGATTGACATGGTTCAATGAACATCAAATATCACATATTCATCTATTGTGTCTAGTAAGTAGTAATGATAAGAAGACTGCATTTTTTCTCTCTCCATATTACTGTTTCTCATGTCAATCGGTAGAAAACAAATGTTCGGATCGACTTGATTTTTGAATTACTAAATATTTACAACTAATTTTAATTATGTTTTATCCAACAACTGAATATGCCTATATTGATGAAAATGGTCAAACTGTAGAACCATCACGATTAGTTCACTATTCTGATACTAATGAACCATTATCATCGCATATGATTTTGGATGAAAATATTTATGATAGTAACCAACAACAACAACAACAACAACAAACACAATATCGGCCAATTGTTATTGATGGCTCTCAACCATTGTAAGTTTCTTTTTTTGTTCTTTTTATTTAAAAAACATCGATTAAGAACAAAGCATTTAATGAATAAAAAAAAATTGTAATAACGTCAAAAGAGATGTACATTTCATCTGATTGATGAAGCGTACATACAAATTATTCAATCGATAATTGAAAACTTTTTTCCTTCATTCTAAAATTTAATGAGTAGTTGAATCAATTTTAAAATAAAATAATCATATGTTAGTTATTTTGTTCATACTTTCATATCTTTTTTATTTATCAGTCATGCCCATTAAAATACAGTTGATTGGTTGAACACATAAATTTATAATTTTGATGACATGGGAAATGAGTTTGATAAGAATATTTCAAGATTAAGATCAATTATTGTTTTTTTTTAATTATCATATAGGGCTAAATGTAGTGTACTCTATTTGGGTACAGCTATTTCTTCACCAGGTCAACGTGGCATCGATGCTATACAAGAACCATTATCACGACGATATCCAGTCGATGGTAAAGAAGTTGTTCGAGGTATTTAACAAAGTTTTATTTCCTTGTTGTTTTCAAGAATTATTGATAATTTCTCGTTTTTAAATTGGAAGGTATTGAAGCATGGTTATCTATATATGATAATGGTTTACAATTACAATTTGCTCGTGATCCATCTGTTGTTTTATTTTATCCAGTTCGCTCTCTTGTCTATTGTGCAAGTATTCGTTTTGCCACACGAACACAAACAGGTGCAGAATTTCCCAATGGTTGGCGTTTCGTACCATTAGATTCACCAGCTGCAGCTCGAATGGAAAATACACGAAACCCACCATTGTTTGCTGTAACTTTTCGACGTACTCGTCATTTACCTGTTGATGAATGTCATTGTTTCGTAACAAAAACAAGACAAGCTGCATTAGCACTTGTTCAAGCTTGTTTTAGTGCTTATCAAGCAACTGTACCACAACAAGATTGTTCAAAAGTACCACTTTATTTTAAAGTAAAGAAATAATCAAAAACAAAAAAAATTAAAAAGAAATCCTTTTAATTCATTCTATAAATGTTTAGGTTGATGACTATGGTTCAAAAAATAAAGAAATTGATAATGAAATACGCATTGTACCAGCACCAGATCGTGATCGAACATTAGATTATCAAACAAATACAGAAGGTGCTGGGTTTTTCTATAAAACAGATCGTGTACCTATTGATACATGGCAATTATGGGAACATCATAAACATGATGTTGATCGATCAACAAAGAAAAGTTACCATTCAACATCAAGATGTAAATAATTTAACCTTCACGGAAAAAAAACTGTTTTTATTTTTCAAAAAATCTTATTTTCTTTTGTTTTCAGCTCGTTCATGTAGTTCAAATCGTTCGTCATCATCGTCATCATGTTCATCACCGAGTTCTTCATGTTCATCATGTCAACACAATCGTCGAAGTCGTCGTCGTCATCGTCGACGACGATTAGCCTCAATAGCATCGATTTCTGCTACTCAACAACAACAACAATCTTTTCCTCAATCTGATTCTCAATCTTTATCAATAAATACTATTCCTACTAGTACTGCAACGACAACAAATTCTATTCAACAAACAGCTATTGATCCATATGCACCAGCACCTAATCTAATTCGTGTCGAACGTATAAAAGATGTTAATTCAGGTCAAGATGTTTTCATTCGATGGGTTAGTGAAAGAAATCCTACAACAGTAATCAATGATGAACAACAACTATCTATTCCACAACAAGTTTATTCTACTCAACCGCCAATCAATTCAACAACAAATTATGATTATCAAAACGATCGAGAATTACCAAATGAAATCGAACGTTTAGCATTACATGATGAACATTTACGAAAATCTATTTTATTTGATGATAGACCACCATCAATAATGTCCAATTATGAACAGAAAAGACATAAAAAACGACACAAACGAGATAAATATAGTGATATTGATAATCAAGAGGTTGATTATGAAGTTGTTAGTGGTTTTTTTGAAGAACGTAGTGGTAAAAGACGTCCAATTAAACTTGATCGTGCTCGTATAAGTACAGTTAAAGATTATCGACATTTATACAATGATGTAGTTAATTCATCTGCACCAAAAACTGATCGTCGACGTAGTAATCGTGCAACATCATTAATTCGGCCACCAATTCAAGAACAACAACCACCACCACCACCGCCACCGCCACCACCCCCACAACAACAACAATATTCTACACCAACTTTTCCTCTAACTAATCAACAAATAATAAGACCATTTGGTACAACATTTCTCCCATTTAATACACCTTTTTATCCGAAACAAACATTTAATACAACATCATTGTTTCCTCGACCAAACTTTATAAATCGAGTTCCTCTTACGCATCCTTCATTATGGTATAGACCGATGTAGTAGTTTGCCAGTTATTAGTCAGTTCTTTTTTAGCATATTGTTATTCCTTTTTTTTATACATTTTATAAAAAAAAGAATGCGTGTGTGTAACTGCAATGTCAGAAAACTGCATACAATGTCTAAAACGCAACCATTTCATATTAGGAAAAGATACAATGGTTAGTTTTAATTATTATTTTTCTGAAATCTCTGATAAACAAGCTGGCTTTCTAAATACAATCGTTGATAAATTGAAATAAGCTTTTCTTTCTGGTAGAATTTCTTTTATTCATCATTCATTGAAAAAAGTTACATTCTTTGTGAAATTTAGCAATACAAGAAAAAGTATTTGTCATGTTTTCTACCTTTTCTAAACAAATTGAATTGCTTTATGAAAATCGAAAGATAAGCGGCAAGTAGAGGATTTTCTAACACAAGATAAGTCTAATAATTTCTAAAAACAAAAAAAAACCTCGGCATATTACACGTTTGTTTGCACTACCATTGGTATGCTGACAACACATCGCCAGTCAGAGAGTCATTATCGTTATATAAATTTGTATGGACATATTATATTTTATTTAAGTGTTATTTTGTATTTATTTCACAATGATCCATTTTGGTGATATTGAAAGAACACAAACAATAATACAAAAAAGAAAAATATCCGATTTAATTATTTTTCAGTTTTACAGTGAAGGTATGCATAAACATGTTTTTCTTGAAACTTGATAAGTTTCACAAATGGTCACCTACTTTGTTACCAACTATCAATGATGGTATAGCTCTAAATCAGGATGGCAACCTCACCCAAAATTCTTCTCGTTCGGCTATTCGAACTCTGCATGCACACAGTGCCAGCTCTATTATATTATGATATACAATAATACTTCGTGCGACGAGAATGTGTCTGATATTATGTGTATGTATAGTTTGGGGAATTGAGTGAGAAATTTGAGTGAGATTGCCGCTTTGGTTCAGCACTGCGTTATCATCAATGATTGGCAACAGAGTAAGTGAGTGATCTTTTTTGAAGTTTATCGACTTTCAAAAAGGACACGTTTTAGCATGTCTTCACTCTAAAATTGAAAACGGTTAAATTGGATATTTTTCCTTCTTTGCATTGTTATTTGTATTCTCTTAATAACACCAAAATGAATCATTTTGAAATAAATAAGAAGCAACACTTATATGAAATATAATGTGTGCACACAAATGTCCATATAATGATACAAGGGGAAGGAAAGAAGGAACTTATTTTTGTCCGTTGAAGAGCTGCAGTCCTAGAATAACCAACTGTTTAAATGTAAAACACTCGGCAATTGATTGCCGATATCACACATATTTTATCGGATGCCCCACAGGTGATTTTTTTCCAGTTCGAACCATATGAGTGAAGTCTAGTAGAGAAAAAGTGACTTGATATATCAATCTCTAATAGCTTTCCAGAGAATTTTATTATTGTAGTAAAAAGACATGAATACATTTTCAAAAGATCGATCATTGGGAAATGATATAACCGACAACAATGCAAAAAGATTTTCTAATGTATTTCAAAATAATTCATTTTATTTAAACATCAATCTGCTCTAGGGCAATATTTGTTATTCTTGATTGATATTTTTCATTTATATTTCAAATTAGAAATCAAAATTGAAGTGCATTAGATGCTTACATGTATGATGCTATTTTCTCACTTGTGTTAACTTGTTGATCTTTGTAAGAAAAACAGTCATGGCATCTAGTATTTCATAATTATATGTATGAAGGTGGAATTATTTGCATTAAATTAGCATTTTTTATTCATCAGAATTAGGAAAAAATTTGAGAAAGTTTTATGAGTACCCTTATACTAATTATATTTGATAGTTCCTATAACCTTTGATCATACTTGAAAACAAAAATTCTTTTTTAATCATTAAATATCCTAATAACTTAAACCAGATTTAAGTTGTATGAAAGAGTTTCTTTTCCTTCCGTCTACTTTTTACAAATATATGACTCACATGTGATATTTGTTCATTAACGGAAAACATGAGATTGATTATGACATTTATCAAAAACTTAGATGTTCTAAAAGCTTGGAACATGAAAAACATGACATTAAGATGACGTCGCTGACATCTAAATCTATTTGATGTACTTCAATTTCATTGATTAAATAGAACATTTTCATTATTTTAACTCTATAATTATCATGAAACATCATATTTATTACATTTGCTTGATTAAAATCTGTTTCAATGAATGCAATTGAAATATATATCAAATTCAATGTTTCTTTCATGAGGAATATAGCTCCAACTCGAACATTTATTTAGAAGAAAAATTGATCATTCATAAGATGAGTATAGGCTATAGAATTATGGAAAGTTTTGAAGATTTTAGGCATATCATTGGACACTTATGCGAATAGTAAACCATAAAAATGTAAGGTTCTTGGAAGTTTTTTTCGTCTATTGAAATTTGTACAGCTTTCTTCGCTGATCATTTTGATCAATAAATAGCGATGCTACAGTCATAACATTAGTAAACATCGTACCTTTATTAGGCAAATTAGTTCAAGGTTTTCAGTATTTTAATTCTAGCCTCGTTATTTACTAATCAAATTTAAAATAGTTTTTATCAAAATGGTAAGCGAAGAGAGTTCTATAAATTTTCATAGACAAAGAAAACTTTCGAGAACGTTATATTTTTGTGATTTACAACCCATGAAAGTGTCCAATGGTATGCCTAAAATCTCCAAAACCTTTCATGATTCTAGATCGTATTATGAACGGATGAACATTCTTCAGATGGTTAACTCTAAAGATTAAAGAATATGAATACTTGACTGAATGTCAATTATTGCGAAATTACACTCTATATATAGGGATAGACGTGATGAAAATACTTTTGATCATTAACAAGATGGGGAAAAATTCAGTGATTGTGATGAGAAAGAAAGGAGAAATCCAGGTGATAAAACGAACAGAAAACGAAAAATCTTCTCTGTGATGAAGGAAAGAACAGGAATAAGAAAACTCATATGACATGAAAATGAGGAAAGAAAAGAATGCGTTATGAGAGAAGGATGCAATGGGATAGAACGTCGTGGACTGGAATTATGTTATCGTGTAGCATCCATTCTCACCCAATGATGGCCAATTATACTGCTAAACCCTGCTTTTGACAGATTTTCATTTACTATAAATTTACTTTTATGTCTCTTTGTCATTTGATCTGTACCCCCTTGTAAACTATTTTTACTCAGTCTGTACATAGTAATATCTGTATCATATGAATAATATTTTACTTTCGCCATCATTGCATTATATGTTAACTCAGAGTTAGACAAACTATGATCAAATAAAACTAACAGAAAGAAAAATTAATTTAAAATGTCAGCGTTTTTTTTTATTATTAGAAAACGTGCCACAAGAACACTTTAGAGTTCCTTTGCAGCACGCTCTGAAGAACAGTTTTATGTTTTCTTTAGGAAAAAATTCGTTTTCATGATCATACAACATAATTAAGAGAGTACATATCAAAACATGTCACAAACGAAGAAATCTTTCTCAAATAAGAATATATCCAATAAAATATCGATGTTTATTACTTAAAAATTGTGCTCTACCTATGCACATTCTTGATACCAACGAGCATATTTTTAAGTATAAAAGACAGATCTGCAATGGCACGTGTTTTGGTGTATTCTACGCCGTACGCCCTCTATATTTGAAGACGCATATTTTGTCATAAAACAACGCAAAATTTTTTTTTTGCAACAGACTCAAAGAACTCTAAAAACATCATCTACATGTATTCAACTACGTTTTTATTTCAAACTTCTTCTTCATGAATAATTGTATTGTTTATTCAAGTGAAGCAGGAAATAACAACTGAGTCTGAGTACATATCACTTATAACCAATTACATTTACTTTCACTAAACCGAAACATAAACAACTGACTTAAATAATATCGATTAAAGTAATTGTAATTTTCTTGCTTTTAGCTGCTTAGCTATTTGTAAAGATCAATGTTACCAATGATTGGTTATTATCTTTTAGAAAAAAAATTATACTTTAGTAAACTGTATCAAGTTTAAAGGTCTAGTTGCTTGTATTGGTTCAAGAACATTCATCTTACTGATGACCTATTTTCTCTTTTTTTTTGCACTGAAATATTATTTGCTTCTTTTCTATTGAACTAGCACGACAACGTCAGTAAAATAAACTCGTTTACCAGCAATATATTATAAGACTTCTCTGTCACTTGTGAATGAAACACAGAATAGAAGACATCAGATCTTCTAATTTATCGAATTTTACAAAAAAAAAGTTATGCGAAAATTTATCAGACGATTCATAATTAACTATCAACTATGATTCTTCTTTCACAGCCAATCAAAACTTATTTAGAAACAAAATATTTATTTTATTCTTGAAAACTTTAAATATTTTTCAAGGTAAGACTATCTGAAAAAAAATCAGATTTCCTTTATAATTTATTGAACTTTGTACTAAATAAGCCAACTGATAAAATAAATGTCACTTAATCTTTCAACAATAAGAATATTAATAAAACAAGAGTTATCGTCATTTTCTACCTATATAATCAATTAGATTGACGTATACAAGAGAATTGATTACATTATTTTCATAACGTATTATAATAAAATATTTAATAAAAAAAAGAAAAAACAATATAGAATTACTGTAGCATTTGTCATATTTATATTTAACTGTTAGCTCCTGACATATGCCTTTATAAAACAAAATCCTATAGACATAAATAGTACCACTATTCTCTTCTCGTGGTTAAAAATCAAGGAAGCTACAACAGACCGTCAACCAAATATAAAATTATTTTTCATTTGATTTACAATGTCAATTGAGAAACTTCAAAAAAGTGTTACTGATACGAAAAATGTACTACAAGAAGGTTTTTACTTAGTACAACAACGCAACCAGAAACTGGAAGAACTCAGCAAAGCAGCTGACAATTTAACTGACGCAACCAAACTATTTAAACAGGTTTCAGAAGAAAATAGATGGCGAATTTTTTGGAAAAATAATTCTCGAAAAATTCAATTAATATTTATTTTAATTGGTATTATTATCTTCTGCCTTTTACTACTTGGATTTATTAAAATTATGTTATAGTGTATGACCAATAGAAACTAGTGACATCTTATTTCAAAATGTCTATATTAATAATTACTAATCAAGAAAAGAATATTCGTTTAAAAACTTATCTGATTCTTTTGTTTTTTCTTTAAATAAAAATAAGAACAAATCCATTCGGAGGCTAATAACTAAAAGAATTCGAATTTGATTGATGAACACAAACCAATTAAAATGGATGTGAGATCCTCATAGAAGAGAAATTTCGAAATTTCTTTTCTTTAAATTAGATTTTTTTTCTCTCTCGCGTAGAACAATACGTGAAAAAAGAAACGAACAGCAACATCGGTGTGTCTTTCTTGCTCTTTTTTTCACTCATTCTTTTTACATATTGGCCGTATGGGCGCTGAGTACATATTTTCATACACACAAGCTAATCATCCATTTATTCATAAAAAAAATGTTTTTCTTTTATTTATTTATTTTTGATTTACTTAATATTTCCATTTGTTTTTAGTATTTACTCATATTACAAACAACTTAATTCGTCCAATTTATACCGATAAACTAACTAACATTTTATTATTATTGTTATTATTCTTTTAACTGTTATACATATATATATATATATTAATCATCGTTATTAATTACAAGGTTATCATTTATCTAGTATATATTGATATTAAACAGTGAGAATTCAACAATTTATTGAAGTTTACATACAATGAATCGGTATTTTATGTTTATATAAACTGAAATAATATATTGATCAGATATACAAAATTTCAATTTCTATATATACTTCTCATATTTTCTATTAAATTTTATTAATGCAATCGATGAATACTGATCAACAAACATATTATCCTAATTCAACAGGAACACATCCAGCGGCAGCTGGTTATTACATACCGAATGGAATAGAACGTAAGTTTATTCTTTTTTGTATATGTAATTTATTAAAGATTGTTCCATTTAATATTTATAGATTTTCCCATGACAAATTCAAATACATTTGCACAATCACAACATATGAGTGCACCAGTACGAAAGAAATAGAAATGTTTTTTTTTTTTTATTTCAATTATGTTTTATGTTATATTTATAACATTTAGTTTTACAATCCACAAGTGTCGAATGTTTATGGACAACAACCGTTTTATATGAATCCTTATTTACAAAGTCCACCATTTCATTCAACTAGTGCACGAGCACAAGTATATATTTCTCTATACAAATTATTCTTATTATTTTCTTTCTTTTTCTAATAGAATCCATCCTATGTTCCTATTATTCGACCACCGAATGAAACTGTTAATGCAACACAAGGTTATATCCCACATACAGCATATTCAGCATATGGAAATAGTAATATACAACAAACACCACATATGTATTCTCAAGCACCATTTTATCGTAAATTTATAAAAATTTCTAGAAAAATCGAACAAGTAAAAACAATGAATTTATTATTCTAGGTTATCCTATGCCACAAACATTTCCACCACAAAATTTTCCACAACCAATATCATCATCGCAAATATCTAATCAACCACAATCACAATTGCAATATTCTACAGCTAATAATCAGCAAGGAACCCAATCATCACAAACTCATCAAACGCAAACATCTCAAGCGTCATCAGTACAGATTATTTAGACTTACATCCTTGTATTTTAGAATATTATTTGTTTCTAGATTGACCAACAACATGGTATATTATCTCAACCGTCACATTCAAAAGGTATAGAACTATTTTTAATATTATAATTAAAAACAAATTCTATTTGACATTCATTTAGAAAAACGTACAAGAAAACCCATACCTATTGTTGATCCTGTTTCACAGAAAGCTTTAGAAGTAAAAGCATTAAATCCAACGACTTATACATCTTCAACTACAACAACAACAACAGTAGCAACAAATGATGATAATCAACAAAAAGATTCAGCAACTGATTCAACAACGATACATTCAAAAGTAACAGATGATCCAAATAAAACAAAAACACGAGAAGTATTTCTAAAACAATTTGCTCGTTTATTAGATCCAACTGTTCAAACAGATAAGGTATAAAAAGGAGAAAAAAAAAGTCCTATTCGATAATATTGAGAGTTTCTCAGAAGAAATTTATATCAGAAAGGATTAACGAATTGTATTTCGTAATTAAATGCTTTTAAATTGTTTTTGTTTGTTAGAATGTAAATCAATCATCAACCGATGATTTGACTGATGATAAAACAACGAAAGAGAAACAAACGGAAGATGTTGCATCACAATCAAGCTCAACGTCTCTAACAAAGTTGGCAACATCAACACCAAATGAATTAACTGAACAACCTCAACCAGGTCATCCGGGTGTTCCTGTTCGAAGCATAAGTGAAGAGAAATCAAAAAATCAAGATGAAATAAAAGATAATGAACAAGATGAAATAAAACATAATGAACAAGATGAAATAAAAGATAATGAACAAGATCAAAATAATTCTGAACAACAAATTGAAACAATAACATCAACGGTAAATATTTTGTTTAATTTTTCATTCTGTATTATTGCATAAAAACGCGTTAAGGTAAATGACAGTACTCATATTACACTGGAAATTTTTTTTAATTTCATTTAGTCTTTTTTCTTCGAACTTTAAAAATTTATCAGTTTTTTCAGTTATATCTTCTTATTATTTACAATTAGCAGTCTGCGTATTATCGATATATTTTTTTTCCTTCTGTATTATTGCTCAAGATTCCCTAAAGATAAGTAACATTACTCATTTTACACTAGGAAAAAATTTTATTTCATCTAGTCATTTTTTTTCTTTCACTTTCTCGAAAAAGTGGATCATCATCTTGACCCTTCTTTTTCAGTTCTGTCTAGCACATACATGGCGTTTGTATGACGCATAAGATATTGTATTTTTTTTCTTTTTCTTTCCACCTAAAAATATGTCTCTCCATGTATTTAGCATATAATAGTAAATATCATAATTGTGTAATAACACAAAACAAAAAAACGCCAAAGCAATTCGTTTCTAAACAGGAATAGGTAAACAGTCAGAGACATAAAAGGACATAATTGTTCTTGCAAAATACGCACTTTTTGAATCAAAATTGTAATTATGGTAGTAAAAAATAAACGATATCGAAAACAAAGATCTCAAATTCGAAATTTTCGGGTATTAATTTGAAACATTAAAAAAAAAAAAGAAATTTAATATAATCATTACAAAAAAATTTTTCTTATTTGTACTTTTAGTCTGATGATACAACTGATGATTCAACAACTCGAACTAATGATGAAAATGTACGAACAGAAAATATCTTACCTGATGATTCCAATACAACAAATCAATCTCCATCTATAACATCATTATCTAATACAGAAACTGTACAATGTGTAACACCACCTGAAACACTAATATCATCGAATGATATGGAGTCTGAATCAATGAGTATTGGAAAAACTTCATCAATATCAAAACGACTTAGTTATACTAAACAAGAACTTCTTAGTAAACGAACAGATCCTAGTGCACAAAAGCGACCAAATGCTCTTAAATCAATTGATGGTGTTACTGAGCCACCTATTATTCGTCCACCACCAAATAGTATTAGTAAAGGACCACAAATACCCTTAGATAAACCACCATTACAGAATCGAAGTGATAATCCATATATGCCAGTTGATCGAAATAGAATTGATTTAAATATTAAATTTGTACGTGATATTACATCAATATTAAATAAAGTCACACCACAAACTTATGATAAATTATTAAAACAACTTGATGAACTTGAACTTGATCGTTATGAACGTTTAGATGGAATGATAACAAATATTTTTTCAAAAGCAGTTGATGAACCAAAATTTTCATTTTTATATGCAAAATTATGTCAATATTTTCAACGAAAACAAGTTACTGTACCGGATGAAAATGGTCAAAGACTGACACATAGTTTTCGACAATTATTATTAACACGTTGTCAAAAAGAATTTGAAAATGATTATCGACAAGAAATTGGATATGAAAAACGAAAAATTGAAGTTGAAGCTATTACAGACGAAAAAGTTCAAAAAGAAGAATCTGAAAAATTAGAAGAAAATTTAGCTAAAGCTAAACGAAAAAAATTAGGCAATATTTTGTAAGTCAAGCTCATTAAAAACATATGATAAAGCTCAGACAGGAAAAATCTCATTCGGGATTTATTTGAAAGATCGCAAATGATTGATTGTGGATAGATTTATTCTCTTTAGGATTCTATAGCAAAGCATCTAAATGTTTTCAGTTCGTTACTATTGACTTAGATAATATAAATTAAATTTTTAGAAACAAAAAAAAACAGTTCTATAAAATGTTCATTTTTCTTTTAGTTTTATTGGTGAATTATTCAAATTACAAATGTTAACAGATACTATTATGTATGATTGTATTGATTACTTATTAAAAGATAAAACTGACGAAGAAAGTCTCGAATGTTTATGTAAACTTTTAAATACTATTGGCAAAGAACTTGATGTTAAAACAAGTGAAAAGGTATGTGTAATTTAAAACAAGAAATATGTTTTTTTTATATCTTATTTTACTTTCATAATTATTCGACTTGAAATTCATTTTATTTTATTTTATTTTTCTTTTTGCTTATGCCTACTTCAGAAAGTGAGTGTTAAAAATGATCGATATGCACATGATGTCTTGTTTGCACTTGTTTGATATGTGTTACATTGTTTTTTTTATCTTTTATTTATATATCAGTACGATTCACAATTTTTGTTTTTGTTTGTAGTCAACAAATCGAAAAGTGTTGGACAAAAATTATAGTGAATTAGAAAGTATTACTACTCACCGACAAACGTCAGCACGTATACGATTTATGATTCAAGATGTTATGGATTTTAGAAAAGTAAGGCGAATATATATATTATGATCAAAATTAGAATCTGGTCAAATTCTAAATTTGACCAGGCTAGTTTATAATTCGAACTTTGATCAGATTGTTTTTGAGGATGTGAGTGCGGGTGTAAACCTTCTTCGTCCACACCCACACGCACTCTCAAGCAGATCAGTGTTGTCAGATAGGGGAATCCAAAACCCGAAATGCAAGTCTTAAAATCCGGAATATTGCGGCATTTTTTTTAATCTAGAAAAACTTCAGAAAGACTTTCGAAGGTCAGTTTTAACTAATTAAATTACAATTTTCTCAGCCAAATTATTAGTAACCTTATTCTTCATCTTGACAAAATATATTTCAATAAGAAAAAGAGAACAAATATCAAAATATAATTAACTTAACAACTAATAACAAGATAAAATTCGATATTAAGAGTGTGAATGTGAACGTGAACCCACATCCAAATCTTTGTCACTTCGTTTTAATTAAACATTCCGCAATAGTAAGAGAACGATGAATTGAAAAGTACAGGTTACATTGTTCATTTATTTCGCTGTTCCTAAATACGAGAATAACGAGAAACTATACGCAGGAATGAAGGAAAAATATCCTTTAAGCCGATCAATTGAAGAAAAAAACCAAGCTTTCTTCAAATTATTGATACATTTTGTACGAATATTAACATATAAGTGAAATGTGATTGAAATAGAAAGTATCTGAAATCCTGAAGAATCTAGACACCAGAAAAACTTGTGAAACCCGGAGTTTTTCTGAAAAATCTGGAAGGTCTAGCAACACTAACACAGATCCATCCATACCCCACCCAATTGATTTCTAGTTCGATTCTAATTTTGACTGTAACATATACATATATATTATTCAATTCATATTAAACATTTATTAATAAGGCTAATTGGATTGCTCGTCGAGCTGAAGCGAAACCAACAACAATTGATGAAATTCATGAACAAGAACGAATCAAACGTGAGCAACAAGAACGTGATCAAGAACGTGACAAAGCATTACGTCGAGAATCGAATCGCAATGCCAATAATGCTTATGGGGCTAATCCACAACAATATACTGAGTCACGTGGTAATCGTGGTAGTAGTACTAAACAACAATCAAATCGAACAGATGACGAACAAAGTGGAAATCGTTTTACTGTTAATTCAGTACGACAATTACAATCAAATGATAAAAGAAATCAAGGACCATTAGTAAGAAATATTCGATAAAACAAAATTCAAATAATTTTTTTGTTTGTTTTTCATAGCCATTAAATTTAGCTCCACAAGGTGCATGGTCTAAGGGATCAGGGGTTGAAAAGAAATCTGAAAATGATCGTTCAAATACTGTACGGTAAGATATATAAAATAGATTAAATAGAAAAAATATATATTAGCGCAATCTCTGCAAGATTAAAATATGAACCACAATGTAGCTGTTCTTGCTAATCACAGGAACACATTTCATCACAATCTAAAAATGGAATTAGACTGTCGTTTAAGTAGAGAAGGTAGCTGATCGCATGAGGTTCGAAAACGTTAGTACATGATCTCATATGTTCCAATTATCAACATCAAAATCTACTCTATTTGTATGCATATTCTTTTAAAAAAATAATAGTCAATAGATATTGACTATTTCTATCAAGTTTATTGTTTCATGACTTCTACAATACAATTAAAATAAAAACTGCATAGATGATATTCCATTAAGTGTGGTTCTTTGCTTTGATTATTGTTGGTAATATATAACGAGATCGATTTCATCGATGTTTTTTTTACTAACGCTTTAGAACGAATTATCAATGCTATAGATTATTTTTGAAATGAATAAGATAGAAAAAAATCAAAAGAGATATTTTTAAAATTTTGTTTTTCTTGTTGAAACATATCTCAATATCAATTCTCGTTTAGTATGCTCTATGTATTGATTATTCTCGCCTCTGTCATTTGATCAATATATATCATGCTGAGATTTTTTTCTAGACATTTGTTAAGTCATACGAGATTATAATTAAAATATGAATGGTTGCTTTAAATTTGAAGCATATATCCATATATAAGGAAACTAGAAGCTATTAATTATCGTTTTCCACATAGTTATATCTCTCGAATACAGTTCATATCTTACAAATTTTAATAAACTCCGTGATGAAACTCGTAGAGAATTGCCATCGTTTTTATCCTTTCAATTATATTTATCTTTAAAAGTATGAATTCTAAAACAAATTAAATTTTTAGAAGTGGTAAACCTCCTACTGGTCCTGTTGTACAAACAAGATCTAAAGTTGGTACATCGAACGGTACATCTGCTTATCCTTTACAATCTCAATCATCTCGCGTAAAACAACATAAAAGAAAATCTTTTATTTCTTATTTTCATTTGCTTTTTTTTAAAGGAATTCGTACGTGAAAATTCTACGGAATCAACAAGAAAAACAAGTGGGGCTGGATTACCTAGTCCAAATAATGTTTCAGTGACAAATTCACGTGAAGGTTCACGTAATGTTAGTCGTGAACAACCACGTGAAGCAAATATTAATGAACGAGCATCGAATGCTAATACTACAGTAGTATCAAATAAAACATCTACATCAACAACAAATAATACTAATCTATCAAAAGCACCATATGATGAAGAGAAAACTATCGGACATGTACATTCATTAATTGAAGAATATACAGAAAATTATTCCGATGATGATGATCGACCTATAAATGTAAATATAAAATATTTAGGTCATAGGAAAAATAGTGGCGAAGGCATTTCGATTCCTTAGAAGAAGCTTAAAGAAACTTTCTCTCGATATAGTTTTATAGTAAAAACAATGTTCTATATTAAAGACCTGTGTCGAAGTCATTTTTAGGAGTGGTCGGAGTTAGCTCAATTGCTCACTAGTAAATTATGTTGAACACTACAGATTTCTTTTTGATTTGTAACTTCTATTCTTTGATATTCATTGTACCATGTGATATCATTTGGAGTCTTGATTCATGTCTCTTCAAGATTTTGCAAAGTCAGAATCAAAGTTGACTTTTTTCTTATAGTAGCCAATGAATAGCTAAAATCTTGATTCTTCACTTGTTCATGTACATTCAGAGTGCCAGATATTAGTGACAAAAAAAATCTAGGGTCTTGACTCGGTTAGGTTCAAGTCCAAAGTTTTATTTTTTCTCGGATACGGGTTCGGAGTCACAAAAATGTGCACCTACAGCTCTCTAAACTGGATACACATCAAAGATCAAGCCGAATCTAATTTTACTGTCGCATATCGTAGCCAATAATTCCTATCAAAATTTTAGTAGGATGCTTTTAGTTGAAGAATGATCAAATATTAGAAAGACGTAAATAATTGTTTTTACCATCAAATCAATATAAAGAGAAAATTTCTTTGAGAAACTAAAATAACTCCGTCATTACTTTTGATATGTCTTAAGTAAAAAATAAAAATTGGAATTTTTCAAAATATTTTCATTTATAGGAAGCCGTTGATGATTTAACGGAGTTTTGTACATCAAATGTTGATCAACAAGCACTTATTATTCGAGAATTATTTACGAATGTATTAGAAGCTAAATCACGTGCACGTAAAGCTATTGGACATTTACTTGATATAGTACTTCATAAAAATATTATATCTGAAGAAGCATTTCTATCTGGGTATAAAATATATATTAAAAAAAATAATTTTTTATTATTTTATTTGAAATATTTTAGTTTTAAAATGGTTATTGAATTAGTTCCAGATTTTGCAGTAGATATTCCTCTTATTTGGCAATATATTGGTGAAATTCTTGGTGCATTTATTGGTGGTCCAACATCGAATATGTTATGCTTAAAATCTCTTTTACAATTAGTACCCGATGAAAAATGTAAACAATTATTTCAATATATTATTCGCTATGCCGTTGAACTTTCTGTAGGAAAACAAATTTGTAAATATTTTTCTTCTGTTATTGATTGTTTTTTTTGTTTTTAGTCGAAGTCACGTATACAAAGATTTTGGCAATCATCCGGTTTTTCATTAAATGATTTATTTAAATCAGATTCTCTTGATTCTTCATTTATTAATGAATATAGTTGGTTATCTGAAACAACCGGATCAGAACCAACAACACCATTATCAACACCAACACCAACAACGACATCATTAGTAAAAGAAAATCTTGTACCACGCGCTGATGTGCAACTAATTAAATTATTTAAATCTGTTAATGATCAAGGTACCATGGTCACTGATACAGAAATTATTACATATATTCAAACAGTATGTATTTTTTTTAAAGATGTTGTTTTGAATCTTTCTTTTCAATGGAAATGTTCGTTTTCATTTAGCATATGAGTTCAAAAGATAAATTTTATATTCGTAATATTGTTTTATCTTATTTGGAAGCATGTTTGATAAATCGTGAACCACAAAAAAAGATTCAAGAAGATATTGCAAAAAATCGAATGACTGTTCTTAAGAAAATTATTGAACATAAACCAGATGCTGAAATTCAAGCTGTTTATGCTATACAAAATTTTGTTAATAAACTTGAACATCCACCAAGTAAGAATTTATTTACAAAAAAAAAATTATTTTTTCTAATCTCTTTTTTTTTCTATAATGAAGGAAAAAAATATCACATTAGAACTTCATAGAAATAATTCGTTAAATTCTTTAATAAGTCACAATATGTATGGAAAGGTTTTTTTTGATACTTTGACTAAAGAAATTTTCCAGTCCTTACCCTATGTTGTAGGGTTCGATGCCTTTGCACATTTCTAATCCATATGAATGAAAAGAGTGGAAGACAAACTATGTACTTCCTACTTATTAAAAGTTTTTAAAAGCAAATTGTTTATTAAGTAATGTGCCTTTGTTATTACGATAGAGAACAACTTTCCAAAAAACACATTGGAACAAGCGTTGGACATCCAATAAACTGACAGATAATATCAAGTTTCGCAATTTTTGAGGATCAGTTATTGAAAGATCCACATCCTCTGACACTGTTTTCAATATGTTATTTGAACAGAAAAATTTCCTATTATAGGGAAATGATAAAAAGTTCACATGAAAATTGTCTATTGTCTATCATTACAAAGACATATTACATAGTAAACAATTTGCTTTTAAAAATTTTCATTAAGTTCTACTTCTGCTCTTTTCATTCATTTGGATTCAACATTTTTTTAACACCTATAAGAACGATCACTCAAATCAAAGATCATTCGAAAAGTTTTGCCCAGCACTGCTGTAACGTTTATTTAATTATTAAAGCCATAGTACCAGTTCTGATCTGAGAACTCACAAGATCTAACATTTTTTCCAAAGACTTCAACATTGAGTAGCAATCATGTTTCATAAAATTACATATTAAGATCGGAATGTTTAGTTTTGTTGTAGATACTGAGCAGTAAATCATCAACATAGAGTTCATGGTAGAACCCATTGAGTTCTAGTCCACGGAGACATTGATTAAACTGGCATTCGTGTTCGCTGCAACATTGAGAAACTAGTTCTATCAAAATATGCGCTTTTTATAGGAATATGTTTCAAAGCTTCAGTAAATACTATTGCAAGTGTGCAGTAACTGCACTGACTTGGTGATCAGTAAACTGAAGCTGCACATCCATATATTAAGATAAAGTGCTTTTGGAAGTTCCAGAATTTCGTCAATCCGACTGTGAATTAGGTATAGATTAAAACCATTCCTATCGGCTACATTGACGAATGTAACTTATGATATATATATATATATGTGTAGTCTAACAATATTAGTTTCAGCGTTCACACGTATCTTATATTACTATTGTTTCATGACAGTTTGTGAAAGTCAACCGTTCCTTTGATTTTGAAAATTTTCATAATTGTTTTTTTGAAAACAAACTAAGTTGATTGTTGATTTTTTTTCTCTTTATAGAAATGGCTCAATTGTTGTTTGATATTTTCTATGATGAAGAATGTGTAAGTGAAGATGCATTTTTTGAATGGCTTAGACATCCGGATCAATCTGAAACTGAAGGTAAAAAACAAACAAATTGTTTTTTCTATAATATTAATTAAATATTTCTTTTTTAAGGACATTCTGTTGTTGAAATATCAACAAAGGATTTTTTTACTTGGTTAGAACAAGCCGAAACTGAAATCGAAGAAGGTGAAGAAGAAGAAGAAAGTTAATTCTTTAATATCATATCGATAAAGTGTTGTTGTCGTTGTTGTTTGTTTTTTCTTTCTTTCTTTCGTTTTTTTTTTTTTGTTATTACACCACAATATGTTTTTTTTGTCTAAGTCTCTTTATTTATTTTCTATTACCTAAACTTCAACAAAAACAAACCCTACACATACGAGTCTTCAACGCATACAATTTATGGTGGCTTTTCTTTTCGATTTTCTTTCTCTATTCAACTGTTATTCACTTTTTTCTCGGTTTTTTATGTGTCCTATTCTTTCATACTTTAACTCTGAACTGTGACTCTGTCTCGGTCTCTCAGATTCGAATATTCACATGATCTATTTCTTTCTTTTTCTGTTTGTTTGTTTGTCTGTGTGGCATTTTTTTCTTCCCTTGCCCTATTTATCAGATGTGACTGTCATAACATATGATTTGTTTTTCTTTTGCTTTATTATTGATAAATACCGTTATATTCTATATTGACTTAAACTTTATCTTATAAAGTGTGTGCGAAATAAAAGAAAACAGTACTATTTGATTAGATCACATTGTTGTTCTTCTCGGTGTACATTTTTGTTTTTTTTTTCATTTATCGTTTTCTTTATATAGAAACCTTATGTTATTATCCGGATAATATATGCACACGTACATGTCTGTTATAAATCAAATTGTTTTTGTTTTGAGTGGAAAAAAAGTTTGTTTAGAGAAAAAAAAGTCTTACGTAATCACTTTGTTTTTTTCCTTATGTTAAACTATCGCCTTTTTTGCACTGACAAAAAACTGGGAAAAAAGTAAACACATAATCTTGCAACAGTACTCTTCATCTTTGTCTGTGTGTTTATCACGTGTGTATGTGTGTGTGTATGTGAAGTTCTTGGATGATATTCTTTCCGTTTCTTCTCTTCTCTGTTTTGTGTCTTATTGTCTTTCGTTGAACCCATTTTTTTTTCTTTTGTTTGTTTTTCTTTCATGTTGTTATTGGTCGATTGTTTTTTTATTATTTACCAAGCAATAAGAAAGGGACATACACACAAATAATTATATCTTAACAAAACATGTGATGACTAGAAGCGAAATTTTAATGAACACTGATGACTATTAAAATTTTAACAAGAATCGAGCAAATATTTTTTTTTGTTTTTGAAAAAATATCGAAGCTGTAGGTCTTCTCTTTGTAAAACAATCTTATCTCAAATTTGTCTTTTGCTTGTGGATCATAATTTTGATTTGAACAGTTAAGCTTTAGTTTTGTCTTACGAATCTGGATAGAGATAGCATTTAAGTTTTGTAGTGATATTTGTGAAATATAAAAATAGAAATCTTCATTATATAACAATGGGAAACATTCAAAAAAAAGTAAAAATCTAATTAATGTCTTTCATTAGATAAACTACTAGTGTTTCTATTTGTTTGTTCTTTTTTTGATCGAATATCAACGAAAGTCAGTTTATTTAAACGAATGAAAGAGCAAATATTTGTAATATAGGAATTCATCGACTAAAAACGCAATTTTTTTTATGATTGTTAGAACATTGTTTATAACCATAAAAGTGATTAAACTACAAATGATTCATTCTATTTATGATATTGTTTTGAATGGCTACGAGTAATGGTGTGTTAGGTACTTTTGTCGATCCTGCCATTTGATCACCAGATAGATGAATGATAACAGCTTACATATTCTATTCGAATTGTTTTTCTGCTTCAATGATAATCGATGTAACATCAGGTCCTTGCATAATTTATCGCAGCGCAGCTGATGCAGTACTTAAATTTAATTCTTTAGCTATTGATCGAAGTTGACTGATTATATTCTATGTTTCTTCTATTGATTGTGTTGACCAATTTGTTTTTTTAACTGATTTTTTGTCCCGATGCTAGTTTAAATATACAAAACTATATTGTTTATTAATTCTTCAATAATAACTAAAATGTCTGTGCGTCTTCGTCTGTTTTTATCATAGATCAATCATATTTTCCTGAAATCTAATTACCAGATGATGATCACAATAGTAAAAAATCTTCGCTAACGTAAGACATACATCAATTGTATCTCATTCAATAATTCGATATAAAAAATGAATTTTATTGTTGTCATATAACGAATGTTGTCGAATTTGATCATTTTTTAAAGCTTTCAATGTTTCATGCAAAAGAGTTTCTCAAAACTTCTTTGAATTGCATCGTGAGCATCAACTGAACCAGACAGTTTTGTTGCAATGATAATTGTTTTTTTTGAAAACGAGCAGATTTTAACAATAGGTTATTACCAATAACATCTTTAGTAGTGATATGAATATTAGATATATCTATAAGGTAACTACCTAATTCAAAAAGCTGATTAAGCATTGTGTAACTTATTTTGTGTCATTACGCGGCATAGCTCTAAACAGTTTTATCTGTTGGTTTCTATTTCAAATATATTCAATAATAAAATGACAGCTATTTGTTGAAACTTAAGACAATGTCATTGTATCAAGTCGACGGAGCTGACGCTTTATCCATAGACTACACCCTTTCTCTGCCGCGCTTTAGTTTTTTTCTCTTATTTGACTAATTTTTATTGTCGTTAGTTTGGAAATGTGAAATTGTCAAGTCGGATATTGGAGATTCTTAGTATTAGTAAAAAATTTAATATTTTTCCAATTCAGTTATTTCTACATGAAAGATATAAAAAAGCCAGGTAGTATTTGAAGATTTTGATCGTCAAAGGTTACTTTTTATGATAAATAAGTATGATATTCAAAATCAACATGCAAAAACATACTATAAACTTTATAATTCGTCATAAAACATTTCCCATCCAGATTAGACACGTACGGGAGTATAAGGTAAAACTGCTAGACATGAAAGTCAAGAAAGAGTACGAGTCAAATTTTGATGAAAAATATTTTATGAAAAAATATTAAGTCATTGGTATATTTTTTCTGACTGATTGTAAATATCACACACTCATTTATGATAAAAACCATGAAAATGACTCTATTGGAAAAATATCGAGTTGTTTTTTGTTAATAAAAAAAATCTTCAGNAAGGGAAGAAAAAAATGCCACACAGACAAACAAACAAACAGAAAAAGAAAGAAATAGATCATGTGAATATTCGAATCTGAGAGACCGAGACAGAGTCACAGTTCAGAGTTAAAGTATGAAAGAATAGGACACATAAAAAACCGAGAAAAAAGTGAATAACAGTTGAATAGAGAAAGAAAATCGAAAAGAAAAGCCACCATAAATTGTATGCGTTGAAGACTTGTATGTGTAGGTTTGTTTTTGTTGAAGTTTAGGTAATAGAAAATAAATAAAGAGACTTAGACAAAAAAAAACATATTGTGGTGTAATAACAAAAAAAAAACGAAAGACACGAGAAAGAGGTGTGAACTTATAACCAAGGATTTATAGTGTGTCGTCATCAACAAATCATCATTGAATCCAAAGTCCAATAAAACAAATAAAAAGAAATACAATGTTCGATCATTTTTATCTATTGAAATGAAATCTTACTCAGCAAATATGTTTGTTTCATTGCTTACTATTGATCAAGAACAACAAAATAATAATGAACATTATTCTCAATTATCTCATAATACAACTGAACTTAATCAACCAGAAAATCCCACACCAACAATTGTTATTGATAGACAATCAAATTCAAGTCGAAAAATACTATCAAATGAAGATGATACACGTGAAACATGGTCAACTAATTTTGATTATTTAATTACAACACTTGGTGGCCTTATCGGTCTTGGTAAATATTTGTATATTTATGTCATTGAATAAATATTAGGTTCATAAACTCAAATCATGAGAAATCGAACTAAAAACAATGAGTAAATAGAAACGCAATTTACTATATGTTATGACGTTTGTAAAAAAAAAATAAGAATTATCTTTACGTACATATGAGATAAATAATGATAAGAAAAAAAATAGTCACAAAACTTTTTATTAATTTTTATTTTAGGCAGTCTCTATCGGTTTCCATATTTGGCATTTGAGAATGGTGGCGCTGCTTTTGTCTTCCCCTATATACTTATTTGTCTCTTATGTGGTATACCATTACTCATTATGGAAACAGCTCTTGGTCAATTTTCACGTAAAGGTCCAGTTGGTTGTTGGGAATTTGCACCAGCTATGCGTGGTATTGGTATTGCTTCTGTCATAATATCATTTTTTGGTGCTCTTTATTATGTTATGATTATGGTATGGGGCGGGCTTTATCTTGTTCACTCGTTCTGTTCCATTGGTTCTCGATTACCATGGAGCGACGATGTAGGTAATCCTATTGTTTTATAAATTGAACTTTTGTTTTTTTTGCTAATTTTAATTATTTAATATAAAATAGGCGATTTAGCAATCAAAAATAATAAAACAAAATTGGTTAATTCAGTTCAACAATTTTGGAATACTACAATTTTAAATATATCAGACGATTTAAATGGTTTATCAACATTACATTGGCCCAATGTTGTAGTTTTAGCTGTTATGTGGATAATTATATATTTATGTCTTTGGAAAGGCATTAAATTAACAAGTCGTGTAGCTGTATTTACAGCTTTATTTCCTTATTTGCCAATGGTGGCATTATTTATTCGTGGAATGACTCTTGATGGAGCTTGGGACGGTTTAAAATATTATTTAGTACCCAATCCACAACAATTATTAAATAAAAAAGCTTGGATACAAGCTGCAGGTAAATTATTTAAAGAAAAACACTTTACTATGAGACAAAAGCTTTTAGCGCAATCCCTGTAGGATTGAAATGTAAAACACGGTGCATCTGTCATTACTAATTATAGAGAAATTGTTTTATTCTATCTTTTTTGGGACATATATTTCTTCGCCATCCTTTTACTTAATTGTCCAGAAATGTCATAAAACAGTTAGGTCATATATTGTAACGAGATGTTATTAATACATAGTCTTTGATCGTTATCAATTACGACTGCCATGGCCCGGAAGTGAGTGCAAATATACAAGATGACCCAAAAGTTACGCTACTA